GAGGAGCCCTGACAGCTCACCTAAAACAAGGCACATAGTCTAGTTTACCCTTTTTTTACAGGAAGAAATGTATGGCAGTGTGTTGACTGTGTGACCTGCCATGGAATTATCATTTGACCTGGAAAGAAGGAAACCTCTTAAGCTCTTCCCTGGATTAATTCTGTTCTAAACCCATGACTCCTGTATCCCAGATATATGCCCCCATCATCAGATCTGCTTAAGCTAGGGAGGTCATCTTTAATACACCAGTTGAAAATCAAAATAGTTTCTTGAATGTTGATTTCAATTGATGCTTAATCCTCAAGGTTTTACATTTCTGGACAGTGATCATCTGGCTTGAGTGTCAAATCTCCTTGGCCCACTTTAACTTTTTGTTCTTGCTTCTATCAACTGAAATCACTCCAGGCTGCTAGCTATGACAAGCTTGTTCAGTGGTGAAAAACTGAAGTTAGTGACCATGTTTCCAGCAAGGGTGGAGACTTGAAAGCAGGTTTTCTCAGAGCTGAGTGCTCCAAGCAGCAGGTGTTTGTTTCCAACAGGACTGAGCACACGTGCAGCCAGTTCTCCAGTTGTTTTGTCCCAGGCCTTACACGAAACCCATATAACGTGGGAGGTATGCTCTCACAAGCAGTACAGGAACACTATGAAAATGCTGCTGGACATGGGAGCAGCACTGCTCTTTCATGTGTGACTCTTGGCAGAAATTTAATAGGCCACAGATTCAGGCACCACTGTGGTTAATGATTAGACTCAAGTTCCTCTGTAAATCATGCCTTAAATCAAAACTCAGAGGAATTTGAAATACCTGATAGAGGGGACCTCAGTTACAGTGGCCTGTTTTGTGCCATTTTGCTCTGATTTGCATTTTTTTGTGCTTTTAGATATATCAAATATCATTTCCTGTTTGAGACTATTCTGTTTTTTCCCATGTTAATAGAGAAATTCTTACTTGAAAGCAGTATCTTGGTTGTGTGGGAGAATGACAAAAAAAAATTAAAGAAAGGAAAATAGAACTCTCTAAGGAAGAGTTTTTTTAATGTCTGAATGCTTTAGGCCTGAGGAAAGACAGCTGCATCATTTTGTACATTGTGGACAGGTTCCAAGTGTGTGTATACACGGTCACACAGACAGACATACAAGAATTATTGTCTTATTATATGTTCACATTAATAGTAAGGCAGGCATAATAATGACCAGTATTGAAGTAGCTGTTACAGATCTGATCATGATAGACGGAACAGGTCTATCAGATCAAGTTCTTGTATCAGCTACTGTTCCCCCAAAAGGGGAGGTAATCATTATGACAGTGATCTGTCTCTTGCACTCCACTAGCTTTATTGGGAAATCAGTGTGAATAAACTGGCTCAGATGAACCCTGCTTAATCTGATCTTGTGATTTAACCAGGCATCTGGAAAAAAAAGCCTAATGTCACTTTGGCCAATGAATGAACATACATCTGGTTTTAAACACTATGTTAATAAACAAGAATTAAACAGAATCTTGTCTGAACTTTTGAAAAGGATATTTAAGGATATTTGTCAACTATAACACACTTTAAAACCCCCACACTTAACTCATGCTTACTCTGTGCCAGCAAAATCTTAATAGTATAGGACAGATTAGTCTTTAACTTTCTTACAAGAGTAGGTCAGCTGTATGGCTGAGGAAACAGGTCAGAAATAAGGTAAAGTCATAATTACTTATAATTTTTTTCACTTAACTATGAGCATCATATTGTATAAGGACAGCAGCAGGCAGATTTTATTTTCTCTGTAGTATACACATCTTCAGAAAACATCGCTAAGGACCATTTTTTTTGCATTCTGTGTTACTTTGCTGATAAGCTTCACTTGAAGAAAAAGCTGTCCTGGTCCTTAATTATGCTAGGTACCAGAAGTTTTGGTCGGAGACTATTCTGAGTCAAAGTCTCATCTCTCTGTGCCTTTTCTTCTTCATCACAGGGACCTCCAAGCTTTCAGAATACGGCATGGTCACAAACGTCATTGTATCACAAAATCTCATTCACTCTTTTGAAAAGAGTCACTTGCAATCTAAACGTACTTGCTGAAATAAACTAATTCTCATAATAGCTTTTCTTCAAAATTTTATTTTTCTTACAGATGTTCACCTGTTGGCCAATGCTAAATCTGCTTTTTCTTCTATATGTAAAGAATAATCTGTGGAAGAAGAATCCCACATGCATAGAACTAATGTTATTAAATGCTCTACAGCTCCCCTGAAACATGTATAATCTGAAATTCTGAAAAACACCTTTCAAGTCAAAGGCAAGAACAGTATGCTTGCTCATAGAAACTCCAGTAGGATTTCAGCGTATTACTCTGTGGAAAACAATAACAATAAATAATTCTTCTCAAAAAAAAAAAAATCAAAAATGTATTCTTGTACAAAATTGTCATAGCTTTTATTAGTATTCCTCAGGGGGTAAAATTTACACAGTGTGTGTGACTTAATTAAAAGTCCACAGAAACCCCTCTAGCACATCATCAGACATGGATCATAACTGTAAACAGCATTACCGTTACAACAGAATAGTTTTTTAAATATTAGTTTAATTGCATATCATGAAGTTTGCTTTGCTTCCTGAATAGGAACGCTCACAGATGCTTCTGCATTTTGGGCTCATCTGCTTTATCGTGTTTGAAATTAGCGTATTACTCTGTGGAAAACAATAACAATTAATAATTTTTCTCAAATAAAAAATCAAAAATGTATTCTTGTACAAAATTGTCATAGCTTTTATTAGTATTCCTCAGGGGGTAAAATTTACTCAGTGTGTATGACTTAATTAAGAGTCCACAGAAACCCCTCCAGCACATCATCAGACATGGATCATAGCTGTAAACAGCATTACCGTTACAACAGAATAGTTTTTTAAATATTAGTTTAATTGCATATCATGAAGTTTGCTTTGCTTCCTGAATAGGAACGCTCACAGATGCTTCTGCATTTTGGGCTCATCTGCTTTATCGTGTTTGAAATTTAACTCTTCTGGTACAGTGATGCCTCATACAAGAACCTTGGGATTTTGGGTATATGCAAGGATACATGCAAAAATGAGAGAAACAAAATCCTGATTCATCTAACCGCTTGTATCTGTATATGAAGCACATTTTGGTGCAGGAAGGGGGTAACAAGGGCAGCTCTCAGCTGCACGCCGGACGCTGTAAAACGGAGTTTCAAAGCGCACGGTGAGAGCAGAGGGGCGGCCCGTGTGCGAGCGCGGAGGACGCGGGCGGTACGCGCAGGGCAGGGTCCCTCAGGCCGCGGGGTCCCTCAGGCCGCCAGCCCGGCCCGGCCCGGGCCCAGCGCGGCCCCGCCGCCCGCACGGGCGCCGGAGGGAACCAGGGAGGCGCCGGGCACGGCTGCGGAAGCCCCGCTCCCCTTGTTTCAAGGTGCCCTCCGTGGGCTGGCAGCCGAGCGCCGCGGCGTGCTGCCATCGGAGCCCCCGGGTCACGCGTTACATAGTTTGGCTCTGAAAGAAGAGCGAAGGCGATACGGGTGCCTGAGTGTGCCTGTTGCTCCAAGTTTACCTCATTTTCCCTGCCGTTATTTATCCAGGGACCAGCAGGTCATTTCTCCTGCTGCCGCTCTAGGCGCCCTGTATGGCGTTCTTGTTAAAGCACGAACTCCACATTACTGCGTGGCGGGTGGGCCCTGTGCCCCACCTGTGAATGCCTGGTTAATGCACGAGGGGCTGTCCTTGCCCCGAGAACATGCCAGGGCTGGTTTCAGACGCTTGAGAATACTTGGGGAAAAGGACAGACCTGCTGCTTGTTCGGGCTGTGTCACAGAAGACCAAACTCCTCATGCCACTGCATGAGTTTGTGGTAGCCTGGTACACTTAGTACCAGGTGCTTTTCTGGTTGTCACTCACCCAGAAGGGTTTACTAGACCTCAGTGAGGCCAAGGGTAAGGTCTAGGGACTCGGACACTCTTTAATGATGTACTGAATAGCTTCCATATGTGTAGAAGTAACTGAATAGACCTGAAAGAGGATACAGGTGGAGAGTGGAACAGTGAGGGGAAGGTATGAGGAGAAATGCATAGAATTATCTAATCAGAAAGCAAATTAAGAACAAAAGGAAGTACTTTCCCACAAATAATAAAACTCATTGCCTCGGGATGAAGACAGTATAATTGGGTTCAAAAAGGATTTATTCAAATGTATGGAAAAAAGATTCATTGTTAGTGCTTGATTCTTCCTCTGTCTCCTCAGGAAATCCCAAAACAGCTGATTGGTTTCTAGAGCTTGCAGAATAAAAGATCATCTGCAGAAGTACTTTCTTTGTGCACTCCGTTCTAAACATCAAAGCTAGCTACTTCAGAATCATTTTGTATTTCAAAAAGCTTTTTTTTTCCTTCAAAAGCAGAAACAAAAAACTCCAGGCTAGTGGGGGTTTTTGACAGTATTAAAGCAGCGTAAATACAATAGTTTCAAATCATTCTCAGTGACATTTGCACTGGTGGTGTCCAACACAGATATTTTGGATGGAGTGAGACCTTGAGGCTAAATGACTTCAGCACAAGGACAGTGATTGCAAGAACAATATAATTACAACCAGTACATCAGCCTTGAATAAGCAGCTGAACAATACATTTTGGCCTTTAGGTACCTAAATCACATAATTCATCAATTGAATAAAAGTTGCCATAACTCTACTATTGGAATGCTAGATTATGTGTGTGATTTTTAAAATTTTTTACTAGTTTGTAAATACTTAAGAATTAACTTTCACTTGTAAAGGTGGTGTCTAATTTAGTTCAGCTGCTTATTTTGAATAAAAAATGAACACAAACAAATGCATAAAAAACAAATCACTACTTTTGTAACCCAGTGTCAAGATTACAGCCTTCACCTGTTTGTACAAACTGCTACAAACAGGTGAAGGCTGTGATGATGACAAGAGCAGCAGTTGATGTCTGGCTCCACTGGACACAACATTGATGGTTGATTTGCAATTTATGAATTATTTTGAAGATGGGCAAGGTGTGTGCTGTGTTCGGAGGATCCCGTGGCATAGGCAAAGCTGTGGCAGAGCTGCTGGCACAGAGGGGCTGCCGCCTGGCCATCATTGCTAGGAACCTGGACGTGGCCCAGAGCACTGCCCGTGGCCTTGGTGGTACGTATGCTGCTCATCTCCTCCCTGCTCCCTGCTTGCCTGACTGGTGAGAACAGCGAGTCCTTAAAAACCCCTCCTTCTTTAACTAGATGGAAAGGAAAATAGAGGCTGAGAAATATTAAAAACCAGCTACATTGGTACGATTCTCTTTTCACAATGCTTGTTGAGAAAGTAGATTACCTTTTTTATCTGCATGATGGGAATTTTAAAATGAATGGAATTGTTTGGGGTCACAACAGAGGTGGTGTTAATTGAGTCATCCTCAGCTCCTGAAGTAGCCAGAACTGAGACCAGTCTGCTTATGCTGAACTTTTGACTCCAAAAGGCAAAAAATATAAGACAAGGAATTGTCACATAACTAATGAATACAATGCTTGAAAAAAGTCTTTATTTAATTGCCTGGGGATTAAATAGGTTCCTTAAATTATAACTAGTTCAACATCTGTTTTGCAACTGAGCTGATACATTCTGAAGAAGGTTTATGTATTAAATACAGCTTTTATTGTGACGTTATATATATTTCAATACAGCAGGACATCTGGCACTTAGCTGTGATGTATCCAGTGAAAAAGAAGTCCAAAAGGCTTTTGAGGAGATGCAGAGGAATTTGGGTCCTATTAATTACTTGGTGAATGCAGCTGGGATCAACAGGTTGGTTACTCCTTACAAGACTGTGGGTAATTCTGGATGAAGGCAGCTCACTGTAAGGTGCTCTGGCCCTTTGTGCTTAGTAAGAGTGTTGCTAATGAGCACATCTGAAAACAATATTAAAGTGCTTGCCTGTATTTTGTTCCTGATGGCAGTAAAATGCTAACAGATGATACAGCTTTCACTGTAGTTTCTGCATTCTGAGTTTGACTTCCCCCTCTATTCTTTCTTCCACTTTTCCCCCCGGAATGGTCCAAAACAGTGCTTGATACCACTCTGCAAAGGAGGCTCTGTGTTCAGAAGCATGGCTAGCTTGTTTTTTTGCAGCATTGTCATTTCAAATGCGTGAATGTATGGAGCCACATACAGCCCCATTAATATTCTGTTCAACAGTCTTTTCTTTATGAGTGAACATGATCAGGAGGTTGTTCAGTGAATTCTTTGGGTTTTTTTGGTTTGTTTGTCAGGGATGGTTTGCTACTGAGAACCAAGACTGAAGATATGATAGCCCAGATTCACACTAACCTTTTGGGAACAATGTTGACATGCAAGGCTGCTCTAAAGGTCATGATTCAGCAGCAGGGAGGTGCTATTGTCAATATAGGTAAGTTGCTTCTGTAAGCCCTTGGAGTTCTGTGTACTAGTCTTGTAGAAGTGTTTAGCAGGTGTAACATATTACATTGCTTGTTACAATTTACTTGTTTTCCTTTTCCTTGTATTTAGACATTCTATATTTAGCATTTCTTTTTGAATGCTTATTCTTTTGTGTAATTTCAGTAACTTCTAAATAGCTTTTTTCAGTAATAAACACCTCAGAGCTTATATTTTATTGAAAAAAGAAACTTTGCTATTCTTACCAGTTCTTTCAATATCTATATATACCAGCTGCTGGCAGTTAACTAAGAATTGATAGGTTCAGTCCATTTCTTTCTTTATTTAATTCTGGGCAAGGATACTTTTTTTTTAGAAAAGTCTTAATTTTACTCTTCTGGTGCTTGTTGGTCAACATAGATACATGAATTGTACAAAAATCACAGCTAATTGGGAGATTTGCTTATCCTAGCAGGCTAAAATGCATAAAGTCATGCATATTTTACTCTTTTCTTGTGATCACATTTTTCATTCCAAGTTTAGAATTAAAATGATAAAGTTAGTACCATGTTTCAAGTTACCCATTTCATCTTCTCTTTGATGTTTCTTTATTTTAGGGAGTATTGTAGGACTTAAAGGCAACTCTGGTCAAAGTGTGTATAGTGCTACCAAAGCAGGATTAGTTGGATTTTCACGGTCTCTTGCTAAAGAAGTAGCAAAAAAGCAAATTCGGGTCAACGTTGTTGCTCCAGGTTAGTTTTGAGGAATTCCTGCATCCTTGACTGTTGCAATTTATTAAGACTGTGGATCTTTCTTATATTCTGAAAGTAACTTAATACTAATCTCTGTTATTTTCTTCAGCTTTGTAAGTCAATGTTCTTAATATCTTCTGTTTGTTTGTTTAATGTATAATACATTCTTTCAGAAAATCTTCAGTCTTTTCAAGGGTACACCAAGAAATTTGGAAGAGTGAGTCTGCCTATCCTTTTGTCCATTATTACATAATGAATGTAGTTTTTTTCTTTGATCCTTCTTCAAAACTCGCTCTCCTTGCAGATGGAAGGATTAGATCTACTTAGGGACAGAGAGCTACCCTTGTCTCCAGCTAGAGCATGCTTGTTTGGTATTAGGGAAACATGACAGACCATGAGAAAGCTGTCATAAAGCAGTCTTTTCAAGGGTACACCAAGAAATTTGGAAGAGTGAGTCTGCCTATCCTTCTGTCCATTATTACATAATGAATGTAGTTTTTTCCTTTGATCCTTCTTCAAAACTCGCTCTCCTTGCAGATGGAAGGATTACATCTACTTAGAGACGGAGAGCTACCCTTGTCTCCAGCTAGAGGATGCTTGTTTGATATTAGGGAAACATGACAGACATGTCATGAAACATGAGAAAGCTGTCATAAAAGCACCCCTGTCTCTGTAGTAAAAGGAGGAAGTCCTGAAAGTTATTTCTGTGAGTAAAGGTTGTAGTTTCCTAAGATGATCTAGTTCAAGCAAACTGCCACCCTTAAGGAAAAATCCCTTCTATATTTTCTGAATTTTTCCACTCATAACTGTGTACATGCTGCTCACCTTCTACTACCTCTGATGCCTTTCAGAATTCTACATGAACCTGTTCAGCTTGTGAACTAGGCAGGAAAAATACTTTTATTCTTTAGTGAGTTGAGCAGCTCATCCACAGCCATCATAAAGGGGCAAAGTATTACAGTAGAAAGCAAAAGGGAGGCTTTCCCTTCTTGATGGCAGCTAGAAAGCAGGTAAGATCAGCTCTTTATAAAGCTGCAGCTTGTTGCAGAGTTGTGCAGCAGTGGGAAAGCCAAATCTCAGATAACGGAAAACTGTAAAAATGGTTCTTCAAAAATGTCAAGAAATAGTCTTCAAATGAGTGCTCTAACAGAAACTACGCAAGCACTGCCGTGAGTTCTGAAATAGAATGCAAACACTTTAAAGACTGGGAGGGTTTCTTGCTAGACATTTTGTTTCTGTTTTGTGCTCATATTTTAATTGAGAACATTTTGGTGAAATGGGTATATTTTGTCTTTCAGAAAAGTGTTACTAAATATAGTATTTGGATTGAATTTTAGTTACCCTTTCTTGTTTGGGTTTTTTAAATAGACTTTTATAGATCTCTGCATTTTGGTTATTGCATTACTACTTCCAAAAATGAAAGGTATTTTATTGGTTAGATAAGGAAGTGGTTTTGGCCATCAAATGATGTAGGCTGCTTTGGGAGACTTTGAAGAATGGGGTAGCTGGTGCTGAATCCTGGTAATAGATTTGACTTTGTAAGACTTAGTGGGAAATCCACTAGATAAATTTAGTCGAAGGTTAGGTAACTCTTCGTATATCTCTCTGCTCTTAGGCTTCATTCACACAGAGATGACAGCTCATTTGGAAGAAGATCAGTTAAAGAAAGCAATTCTCCTTGGAAGATTTGGAGAGCCTCATGAAGTGGCACAAGCTGTTGTCTTCCTTCTAGAATGCCCATATGTTACAGGGAGTGTTCTGGTTGTAGATGGAGGCTTGCAGCTTATGACCTAAGTACTGCCTTGAAAAAATGACTGCTTTAATGTCATGATGGTAATATATAAATATGTACTAAATAAAGGGAGAGGGCTGGAAATTGTTTGAAGATTGATGTACATAATTGACTTGGTCTTGTTCAGTCCGAGGAGAAATTCAGCAGCAGTGAAGTGCAACGTGTGTGATTAGCTGCCTGAAAGAGTCTGTTTGGTATGATAAAGTCTGTGTATGAAACAACCAGAAAAAGATCTGGTTTTGATACAGTGATAACTTTAATAATGTACTGATACGTTTTTAAACCGCTGGTTTTTTATAAAGTCCTGCTTGCTAATTTGGGAGAGAATGAGATTGTATTTGAATTATCATGTTACACAAAGGTTAATAAAGTGCAGAGATGTGTTTATTGGGTAGCAGGTATGATTGCATCAAGTTTTTCAAGTAGGGCAAAGATTGTGAATGCATAGTTTTGCATTCTTATCAGTTAGTCCCTACAAAGTAGCAAGGAGTTTCCTTTGAGCTTTGTTTGTTTGTACCTAACACTACAAAGCTAGGAACTTCTAGATCTTCAGCATACCTGAATTGCCTTTAGACGCTTTAATTATATGCAATGTGTTTTTTATAAAGTCAAAGCCTACTCGGTTCCATTCCTGAATGTGTGTACAGCACTCACTCAATCCAGTGGCTCTTCTGTGCCCATTGAAGGATTGCTACAGCACTGGAGCTGCTAATCCTGTCATAGCCTGGAGAAGAGGAGGCTTAGAGGTGACCTTATTGCTCTCTACAACTTCCTGAAGGGAGGTTGTAGACAGGTGGGGGTCGGTCTCTTCCACCGGGCAGCAACTGGGCGAACAAGGGGACACAATCTCAAGTTACGTCAGGGAAGGTATAGGTTAGATATTAGGAAAAAATTTTTCACTGAAAGAATAATAAAGCACTGGAATTGTCTTCCCAGGGAGGTGATAGAATCACCATCTCTGGATGTGTTTAAAAAAAGACTGGACATGGCACTTGGTGCTATAGTCTAGTTGAGATGTTAGGGCATAGGTTGGACTTGATGATCTTAGAGGTCTCTTCCAACCTTATTATTCTGTGATTCTGTGATATTCTCAGCTTGAGCTGCACATGCACTGCTGAACACTGCAGCTGCAGACCTTGCTCTGTAAGACGCCTTACAAGGACTCAGTAGATGTCTGGAACATGTATCACTTCCAGAGGACAAAGTCAAGGTGTTTTGTGTTTTGCTCTGTATCTTCACATACACGAAGTTCAGCTGTTAAGTTGATGCTCCCTCATATGTATGTATAGTCAATAAAATGGCCATTTATTTTATTCAAAGCAACTTTTGAAGCAGAGTAATTATTCTGCTGTAAATGATTCTGAGTGTTCCTGTCTTGCTGAAAACTTACCAAATGTTTGACCTCAGGCTTTTCTATTGAGCTTGAGTAATTTTTGATAATTGATGTTTTTATTATCTCTAAAGAAAACTATGAATGTGGTTCAGGACCTTCACTTCTTAGCTCTGGTGCTCATTGCATCATGATCCAGATGTTGATTCAGCTTTTGAAATTGCTTCCCATCTTGGCACACACCACAATACAGAAAGAAGAGATCTCGCTGATGATAACTGAGTCTTTAAAACTGAGTCTTTCTTCATTTGTGCAGCTGAGAAATTTTGTCTTTGTGCCAGAAAACAATACATGTTCAAGCTTCTTGCAGGTATGTATTGAGAAATAATACAAGGAGTATGTGTATGAACAGGAGATTTTACAGTTGGTTGTGCTACTCACTTTGGAATATAAAATACCACTAAAAGTAATGCTTCCAGGAGTCCTTATCTTCCTGTTATCGCTGTTACGTGTCATATATGTCTTTGCACCAAAAATATAAATGCTAATTATGTTTTTCCTTGATAGAAGGAGTTGGACAGAGATGATGTGAATTTTTCCAAGGGCACTGAAGGTGAGGAAGGACAGCTGGTACATTTTCACTAGTCAAGTAGGAATATGTCAGTGACTTGGCTGCTGCCCATACCCGTCCTTGGTATTTTACAAACAAACCCTGTGTGACATTTCTTGACCAAAAGCCAAACCTAAGAAACTAGAAATAATTTTCTTTCAGTAAGTTCTGACCCTAATTATTATTACCCTTCTTTTTTTTTTTTTTGGGTAAGGGAGCTGTTAAATAAGTTATTAGCAATGGAATTTTTAGTTTACGTTTGCAATTAAAACCTGAAATAATGCTGTCAGTAGAATCTCAGCATGCCACAGAGTAATTTCCTTAAAAAGTTCCAGTATATAGTATGTTTTTATTATTGCTGTTGCCATGGGGCCAGACTGAAGTGTTGGTGGCTTTAAATCATGCTTTTAAAAAGCTTTTGCCACCCTTTTCTTTGAACTGATAAATTAGAACAGAAAACTGGTTAACATAATCCTGGTTCTGTCTGGCCTGGTGTGATGTCTCAGACAGGGGAAGTAGGGACTGTGCAGGGTAGGTAACAGATCAGGTGTGTGTCACCTTAGAAGACTCTGGTACCTCCAGCAGTTTGTGACTGGGATATTTGAATCCACCAATGGATAACTGGTTAAGGCCTGCAGGCATTAAAAACAGCCCTTAGGTGCTCTCTCTGTTTTGCTTTTGAATTTGTAGACCTCTATCTTATCCAGCCTGCCTTAGTTGTTTGTGTTTTGTACTGAAAAGTCATATTTCTTTTAATTGCTTGTTGCTGGAGCGCTCTTTTGTATCTTAAATTGTCTTTGTTGAACTTTGCTTTACTCTTCCAGTTTCTCAAGGAAGGAGCACCAGGTAGAACTTCTTGCAGAATTCAGTGTGGATCTATTAAAAAAAATTAAATTGTTTTATGTTTTGTTATATATTATTTCAAAAAAATGCCAAGGTGTTTTGCTTTTTCCTAACCTTTGCACTTAGATTTTCAGAACAATAATTAATGGTCTACTTGGAGTTCATTTCTACATATTTTTTGTATTTTTTGTATTTTTTTCAGCATTAATTGTTCTCAAATCTCTACAATGAGTTTGGTTTACTGGCTTTAACACCTATTTCCTCAGTGAAATGGTTCTGCAATTTTTTAATTCCTTAATCCCTTTGTGACTTTGACTAACTTAGTGTTAGTGGACTACACTGTGGCATTCAGAAACTGCTGTCTGAGAACCCTTAGAAATAAGTTATACTTTGCCTGCCCCAACAGAGAACTGTGGTGTTTTATTGGCACTGCACATCCTTAGGGGAGAACAGCTGCTGATTCATTCCCTTTGTCTTCTATCTTTAAACAATGTACTGATATGGCAACTTCTTTTGGCAACACAGCATCTTTAATAGTTTTTGGCAAGGGAATGTGTCAGATGTGTTTTAGAATTTCAAGTATGCACCATTATTAGATCTCTGTACTCCCATCTCTTTTAAGTTCCTCTTTAGAAGAACTCTAAAATGTTTATCAAACACGATTTTCCTTTGCAAAAGCAGCTCTGTATGTTTATCCTGTTGTTCCCTTGGCTTTAGAACAATTTCTGGCACTTTGCTATATACAGAAAAATATATTTAGGCTTTAATTCCCTGGATCCCTCTGGAATCTCTTCTTAAAAAACAAGTGGTCCTTCCACCCACTAAAATCACAAGAACTTGCTCTCATGTTTGCCAGCTTCCGGTCACTTGAGGCAGGTTTCACTCAGAAGTTTCCCAGTGCAGTTACTTGGTTCCTTTTAGAACAGGGGAGTGAAAGGCCTCATCTTTCTCCTTTGTCCCTCTTTCCTCTGTAACCTCTCCCGATGTAAAGGAAGCAGTAAAACCTGCAACAAGGTGCCTGTAGAAGTTCTCCTCGAGTTCCTCCATGATACCAAAAACTGATCATAGGGGTTTGTTCAGAGTCTGGGGATTTTTTTCCCCAGTGGATTTTCCTTCCTTGAGCACTTTGCTTTTTCCTTTAATCATATGCTTGCCTTCTTCAGGCACAGTTCCTGTTCCTGAGGTGCCAATGCACTTTTGCAGACTATTCCTCTGAACTCTGATCTGGCTGTAAATGTTACATTCAGTGACTGATTCCATTTGACTCCTAAAGCTAGATTGCTGGTTTTACAAAGGTTGATGTTTGAATGCTAGGGACTTCCCCCTCTCCACAAAAATAAATTGAATTTGATGTGTGTATTTAAAATTGTTGTACTGAAGTTCAGTACATTCAATCTTAGTGTTATCATTGGGCTGCATCTTAATTTTGACTTGTCTTTCAAGCTTCATTTTAATATTTTCTTATTATATGTTGCTTCTTTTTTATGGAAGTCTATGGTAGTGGACTTCTGTCTTTATTAATAAAGTTGGCCAATAGACTTGCAGAAGTAAAAGTCACCATTAAAAAAATCACTTATTTGAAAATAGCATTTTGGCTCAGGGTGTGTACGGTTGGGGTGACCACAGCCAGAGTTGGGTGGGCCTGATTAGTTGCATGAAAAAGAATATATTAATAAAGTGATCTTGGCCTCTTCAGTGTGACATTTATCCAACATACTCATGACTGCTGTCTGTCATCACAGTTACATTGCTGGCCTTAGACTTCTCAGATGTCATAGCTATGGCTATACATATGCATGTTCATGGTGTGAGTACAAATATCATCTAAGAACAGAGTTTACCTTGCTAGGTTTGGAAATTCAATCCATGTTTGATTGGATGATTTAATATGTTGATATTTATTTTTATGACTTCTATATATTTTGTATCAATATCTTACTTTTTAATCTTACTTCCATCATACTTCTGGTATGCCTGTTTTGTCACTGTGCTTGATTAAAAGCAGACATTTGGGCTTTGCATCTCGTGCTGCTGGCATTTATGCCAAGCTACATATAACTGTTTGGGGTTTTTTGTATATGGGTGTTTGTGGGTCAGACTGCACTTGACTGACTTAGAATGATTACTCAGTTGAATTTTGAAAACTTCAGTGGACTATCATATTATATATAGTTTCTGTGATTCCGTTCCCAGTGGAAGTGAGAGAATGTGCTCTTATCCATCTAATGTTTCTTCACCCACTATGTTGCTTAAAAGTCTCCTATAATCTTTTAAATACTGGCATCTTTTTGCCTTTTTTCTCTTTAAGAATTAAGTATTTTATGGATTCCCACTACTCCAGTTCTAAAACTGGAGTCCAATTCCTAAAACTGTTTTTTCAGGCATGCATTGAATCTTCACCTCATCCACTAGATTTGGGAGCATTTAGAGAAGGCTACAATGCAAGTCTGGTCTTTAACTTACTCTGTGTTTTATTCCACATCTTTTCTCCTGCCCCACCCCATCTCACTGGTTTGTAGATGGCCTTTCACTACCACCACAGAATTTCTAAAGAGACCATCAAGGCAGGTTTTGAGGGTAGCTGCTTTTGCAGCTGTCATTTAATTCAGCATGCAGTCCTCTTATACAGCAACCCTCTTTCTGATTCACCCATAATGATTGCTTTGAGCTTTTACTCTGCTGGGTTCCTGCTTCAGAGAGAATATCCTTGATAAAAGAAGGTTGTGTACCACAGTACTTACTCATTTCTGTGACCTGCCTTGTCACTGCCAAGTTAGGAAACCTGAAATTGTTCTTCACTTGGCTTTGAGTTTGATTCAGTTCAAAGTTCATAGGTAGTGTGATTTGCCTGTTCTGGGGCTTAGTTGAAGCACATTATATTCCTAGAAAGTTAATTGTTTTGTATGTCTTCTCTGTATTTTTCTAATGTTTGGGAAGATGATGGATTACTCTTGTTCATCTTTTGTCCTCGGTAGGTCATTGGAGCCTTACTTTTGCTTATCTCTTAAGAAATATGTTTGTAATTTAGAATTTGCTGTAGTGAGCTCACTGTCTAACACAAACAGTCTTTTCTTGCTCTTGAGGCATCTGTTGCAATTGATGGGCTGGATGGGCTCTAAGCAATGTGGTCTAGTGGGAGGTGTTCCTGCCCATGGCAGGGGGCTTAGAACTAGATAATCTTTAGGGTTCCTTCCAACCCAAGCCATCTGTGATTCTTGTATGTAAAAGTTTGTAGCAGGACACATAAAATGTTCATGAGGTGGTTTTGGTTTGGGATTTTTCAAAAAATATTGCAGCTGTAAGGAGGAGCTCTGATGGGGAACAGCTTTTGCAGACTATGGTAACAGAAGTATATAGTGTTGGCTGAGTTGGTGCATGCTGAGTGAGTTAGGGTTGTATACCATGAAGAGATTTCACTGCGGCCTCCTGAGGGCAGTCTATCCTAAGGCATTATTGTACTGGTAATGACTTGGTGAGTAAACCTGTATTGTTTTAGGGAAGTGGAGTTGCCTGTGTAGATGCAAAGCTGATGGCTGGCATCCCTGTTACTGGTTTTGTAAAATCCTGTTCCTTATATCCTGAGCTGATGAGGGTTGTAAGGCATGACTTCTAAAGATGAAAAGGATTTCATATTGAGATCAGTGAAATTTGGATAGGAAGTGGATATCTTAATCCCAGCCTGCAAAATCTCTTTGTTATATTAGTACCTACAGTTAAAACATACATTATAATGATTATTTGTTGCTGTAAGGCAAATTTTCCTACTTTCATGTATTGCACAGTGTGAGGTTGTATTACATGACCCTGAAGTGTATATTGCCTGTTGCAATTATGTGACTTGTTTTTTTGGAAGAACAGTGTAGTTCATTCAGGTAAAGCAAATGAAAAATGAACTCTTCAAGGCCAGGTGCTCCCACTTGATTCAGTTAATCTGTGTTTGAAAAGATAGGTCAAGTGTAGTTGTGGGGAGAAGTCATTGGGTGTGCTTAGTGCCTGAAGAAGTAACTCTGCTAAGTCCCAAGTTACTTTTGATTTTCACACATATTGGGTTCAGTTTCAGATCATATACTAAGGGCTTCTTTAGGCTGTAGATATATCTATTAGTAAAAACATGCAACCTGTACCTTGCCAGAGATCTTTGGGTCAGCATGACTATAATCACATGGTCTGGTATTTTTATGATTTTATTTTTTACGTTAACAGCTCGTATCTGTTAAGGTCTGGGATATGTTTAGTTCATGGTATATAAAAATCTGCCAATTTGAATATTCAGTATCAAATGCAGTGGGACAACACCGAGGTAAAAGCCATCAAAGCTTCCTTGGTGTCATTACACACACACATTAGGGCAGTGTCAGCGGGAGCGTGGGGTGCAGATGTCACTGAACAAATGGAGTTGTGTAGATGTTCCTCAACATTTCCCAGTCCCATGATGTTACTGATGTGCCCTTGCATATGTAGCATACTAATGGATTTGAAATTGCTGCATGATTTTGAATAATTTGTTTAAGAATAACTGCAAAGTGATTATATGGTATTGCTGAAGCTTGTTAGTGAAGCAGTTTGATGATTTGTGAATTCTGACTTGCAGATCTCCCAGCTCGGTATTTTTAATGCTTGATGCACTAAACTGCATGTTCCAGCTCTGTGCTGGAGGCTGTACTGTCAACACCCGGATGCCAATGACCTGTTAAAAGCTCTCAGTTGCAGTGTTTTAATTCTGATCCTTTCTGTATGACCATTTATCCTAGTTTTTCAGATAGTTGGTTAATTTCTACTGCAAACTTCCTGCAACTTCAGAGAAAAGAAGGAATATAGTAATTTATCTTGTTTTGATTAGATGTCATTTAGTGTGCATGTATGATTTTTGATGGTGAAATGTCCCTGCCAGCAACAGACTGGAGCTGCATCCATTCTTTGCAGGCCCTTGTAGCTCTGTTTTTGGAACGTATATACAGAACAGAGAGCAGCTATAATTTTATAGTTCACCATAATTTTCAGGACACCATCATGGGTGAGATCATTAATTTGCAGTAGATTACAGGTGTGGTTCCTGTTGTATAGAAAATCTTATGTTATTTTCAGCACCTTTTGCAGTAGCTCAGAAAGGTCCTGTTTGGCAGTCTGGGTTTTGTAGCCTCAGTTCTCTACAAACACGCTGTGATGTCTGGGCCAAGAGTTGTCTAGAAAAGTTTGATGGCAGTATGTCTCCCTGAAACTGTGTTGTTAAACACACAGGAGAAAAGTCCTACCATAATCCATTTGGTGTGATGAGACTTGGTAGAGCTCCTTCTGTAAGTGTTGTAATCGTTCTGTGCAATGGCCATGTACTGTTACTTTTTTCTGCTTTCTTGTTCTGCAGCTGTTTCTGGACCATTTATGCTACTACAGAACTAGAAAGTGATAGCAGTTACAAGACTTGGCCAGTCCCCAGGGTTACCTGTTACACTGCAGTTGTTCTATAAAGTACAACATTTCTCCTTCTAGGTGGTGTTGAACTGGAGTGTGTCTCCATCTGAATGGCTGCTGAAATCTTTGCTGTGCAGGTACTGCTGCTCATTGTCTGGCTTTTTTGCTTAGATGTGATTGAGCATTATGTTCCAAACACATTTTTAGTAGAGATGCAGTGCAGTATGAGATAATTTTATGTTTTAATCACTTCTGTTAAAGAATGCAAAATGGCCTAATTTTGAGTTGGAGTTGCAAGCTTTAAGTCAAGTCAAAGAATACTGTGTGCTGTCTGGAATACATTGTAAATTCCTTGGGGCAGGAACTATGTTTCCATCTGCCTGAGGTGTTTCACGTGCTCATATTTCTGTTCAAACAGAAAATCTGTGCAGAGGGAAGGCTATTTCTTTTAGTTCAGGAGAATGATATAAATGTCAGTAAATTCTACCCCTTGCATGTACATTTGAATGGTGAGGGAGTGAATTAGCCAACATGCATAATCCAAGCAGGCATTTCTAGTCTATGCTTGAATTTGTCTATAGTGCACAGTGTGCATTAGGCAGCTGGGTTTTGCAGTCAGAGCATGCAGCTCATCCCCTCAGCATCATGGCATGTTGGATAATGTGAGCTCATGAAGTACTTACATATGAAATCTGTTTGGGCTACTTGCAGAGGTGAGGATGTAGCAGTCCAGATGTGGAGAATCAAGGCATTTCTTAGCATACACCCTAAGTGAATTAAAATAGACCTTGAAAGTGGTGATACAGGAAGAAACAATGATTTATAAGCTGGGGTTTCGAGCTGGACTGGTTTTGATCCCTAACTGCCAGTTAGCTGTGATGGAAGCAAATTATGCTTGTTAACTAATGCTTGCTGTTGCCTTAAAGCTGTAGGATAAAGGCACTGTGTGTTAAGTACACCACCAGCTGGAATGGTGGAATGCATGTGGAATTTTGCACCTCACTGTTTGTATTTTTGACAGAGGTTTCTATTGTCATCCTGATCATTGTTGAATTGAGTCTCTGATTGCTGATTGGACTGATCAGCTTCCTATACAATTAGAAGTCTTCCCATACCTAAACTGGAAGTCTTGCAAAATGTCAAGGCTCGTTTTTTTAGTCTTAAAAAATGACAAAAGTACACTCTCAGGTCATACTATCTGTCTTTGGACTATGTGGAAGGAGATTAAACTTCTGAAAGTTACTTTGATGCTTCCAAGAATTTTTGCTTTTTGGCTTGAGAAGTTAACTTGCTTATGCCACGCTTCTATCTCTGACTTTGTAAGCCCAAACAGTCCTGGTAACTAAGTAACAGCACAGCTGAATGTTTTCATAAAAACAATGTTGCTGCTTAGAGATGTGATTTACTACTTAAGTGTGTCTGTACATTTACACAGAGGCAAAAAGTGATGATGACCTCATCTTCAACAAGTCTCAGTTGTTTAGTCCCCAAGCCAAAGCCAAACGTTCTGGGAGCAGACACAACTCCAGTGACTTCAGTTGCAGTATTGCCATTAATGTCAGCACTCACTCACTTAATTGCTGACATAAGCCTCTTTGTAGTGATCAGTGCTTGAAATGTAAACCCACAAGAAAAAAAATGGATAATGTTCCATCTTTCCTGGTATCTTCACATTGAAAAAAGAAGAAACTAGTCAGGATTTTGTAAGTAAATCTGACTTTTTTCCCCCCCAATTTTGATAATGTCCTGTTATCAGGATCATAAATGAATTTACCGTATCTTTTGCTTAGAATCAGTTATAAGTGATGACATATTGCAATTATTAGAAATACAAAACAGACCTGCATATTTTCTAGCCTATTAAAAAAAGTATCTTCCAGTTCCTCTTTTTGGCAAAAATTTGTCAGAATTTATGAGTAATGTTCCTATGTTCTGTTGAAACAAGATTCCAGGTCACAAGCAGACTATTCTGATAAATTCTAGTAGTTTTTAGAAGCTGTATATAGGCCTCATTTAATCTGTATTCGTAATATTTAAAATTTCCAAATCTTACACTTGAATGCTTGTACCAAAACAGTTATTAATCTTTACCAGAAGGAAAACTTTCTATTTGTGTAATATTTATTGATGCTAAACCCACATTATATCAGCACAACAGTCCAAAGTAATGATAATACATTTTTATAAATACAAATAAAAAGTGGCAAAATAATGCTAGTGAAGCTAAACAAAAAAGTAAATTAGCATGTCACAGTTGAGGAAAATTTGGCAAAAGATATGACATACTTCTAGAATAAAATCAGATTATTCCCACCTGTCAGACTGATGTTAATCTAGTTTAACCATCCCCATTACTAGTCATATCCTGCACCAGAATAGTACTACCTTGTGTGCTAAAGTTTATTAGTCACTAAAAAACAAAACAAACTTTGTGTACTTACAAAGCAATACACGTATAGCAGTAATGCAATATATGGTGTACACAATTACAAAATTAAAAAAAAACAACAAACAAATCCCTAAGTACAGGACTTCTGAATAAATGAACTGAGATAAAAGATTTCAACACTTTTATTATAAATAATGAAAGATACCATATATGTGCTTCATATAAGGAATACAGTGTTTTCCTTTCCTAGCGAAGTATCGTAGCTCGTACCATCAAACACTCATTTTCCTTGTCAGGCCTAGTAATTTTTCCATCCATTCTTCCTCCCTCCCATTCAACTGAAATTCATTTGATTCTAATTTAAAACTACGTAGTCAGGTGTGACTTAAGTGGGGCTCCACTTCCAAATGGATTTGCCTTGCATTCTGTAAGTAGCCTTCAGGCTTTTCACCTATGGTGCACAGACTACCCCTCAAAAGAGTTGACATTTGCCTGCAGTCAGGAGAAGGAAATATCAGAGACATATATTAAGAAGAAAAAACAAAAAGCAAACTGGATTTTTTTGCCTATCTTCATTTTCTACTTCCTCAGATTTGCAAACTATCACCTGTGGTGTATACTTGTCACTTAAATCCGTAGTGTAGTTTCAATCAATTTTTCACTTACTATACATTTCTAAAATCCTCATACATATTACACAAGCTTTAAACAGTCAAACATTCCATACATACACTCTCTAGTTTTCAGCTCATGTTAGAATTTCAGAAGCTTGAATGGGAGTATTACAAGGTTACCTGCTCTCCAGAAATCCAGAGAGTTTCAACCTCTTGCACAGTCCCCCTCCCACCCCTTGCAGTAATTCACTGCAGTGGTTTATACTATCAGCATTTTTTCCCATCTAGTTACCAATGTGTGATTGAGTCTGGAGTAGATTGTTACTATGTGCCATCTCTTCTTGGTTGTCCTGCAGAAGTAAATTACTTCTGCTTAGACTGCCATTGCTATGTGTTTGTAAATAAGCCTCCTCCAAGATGGCAAAAAGGAAAAACACAAATGAATTGAAAGTTAGGGTGTTGATGTCCATACTAACAGCATTGAAAGAAAGATTATTTTTTTCATGGTTGAATAGAAAGCAGTTTGCAGAGATACAGCATTTGCTTACATTTCTTTCCTTGTCCCTTCCTGTTTCATTCTTATAGTATTGCACTTGTTCATCGTAGCTGTCAGAATGTGTGTAGCCATTTTAGAACTGTTGATAACCCTTGAAGAAAACATCTTGCACCATTAAGACTGTGTAGCATCTACTTACTGCTTACGAAGGTATGTAGTGAAAAATCTTTCTCTCTGATGCATTTTGGCCTCTATGAAAAGGGTTATGAAGCAACATAGGTTAAGGAACTGGTGAATGTGATTTGTTGTGCAATGTGTACATTTCTATTAATAATCTATCTATTCTTCTAATTTGGTATAATGAATAAGGAATATATGGTTACTGTGTTTGTTGTTTATCTTTTGTACATGAAGGTGTCTGCCCTTGCATAAAGTGACATAGGAGTATCATTGGTCAAGGCAATGGCTTTCAGTGTTTCTGCTTTGAAAGAAGATGATGGAAGCGGCAGTTGAATCTACAGATCATCGCTCTCTACCAGGCCAGGCTGCATTGTCAGGTGCACTGGGTTTGCTTCTGGCTGGAAAGCTGCTTTGATGTCTAGTCCTTGGTCACAGAGAGCAGCGTATCGGCTGGCTGAGGGCCGCACCTTCTTTGGCTTGGTCTGCTGAGGGGGTTGTTGCCACTGAGCTATTAAAAGATTAAAAAGGAAAGAACAAGTGTTAGCCTTCTTGAGCGGTGCACCTAAGTGTGCCAGATGCTCAGTCAACCCTTTGTGAAGGAGATAGTAATTTCTGAGAAGCAGAAAACCATTATATCAAAGGTAAATTTGTTTACTTTCTTTGCATTGTTGTTTTTTGGGGTTTTTACTCAGCATCTAGTTTCACCTTCCAGCGTGGTAAGTCAATACAACAGTCTGTGTGACTTTTTTGGCATTGTTTTCTACATTTCCTTGTGTCACTTAGAAGGGTGACAGCAAGGAGGTTGTTTCTGTGCACTCCTGTTATAGTAATGGGCCTGTTCTAGGGTGAGTTGTTGCACATAAAATGAAATTATCTGGTTGCCATTGCCACCCCTTGTATACTGAAGAATGCTGGACCAAATCTCTTATTCACTATTCCCACTTCCAGCACCACCCCAGAAACCATCCTTTATCAGTCACTCCCCTCTCCCAGTTAATTCTTGCTATGAGAAGACTGGTAAGAGATACTTCTTTAAGAAAATAAGGGGCTGCTTTGGAACAAACTGAGTAATTAAGGAGAAAGCCATAAAAACATCTACTACACTTTTGGTAGCTGTCACAGGTGTATTACAGACTAATGTACAAAAGAAAACAAAAGGTTAGGGAAGTGCCAGCAAAACAACAGTAATAATGATCCACAAAAATCATATGATCATGCCGTTATCTGTTGTTAATTAGCTATATTTAATGTACAAAGCAAAACCAGAAAGCATGCAAGCTTGTTTTGCTTTAGTGTCTGGAAGACGGTGAAATATACTTTGACAGAGCATTTGTTGTCTTGAAGTGGATGTTTACTATTGAGGAGAAACTATAAACAAAAGAAAGAGAGACCAATGTAAACCATTCTGTGAACAACCCAAAACTTATAGAACTGTTGCTTTTGGGGGGATTAATATGATCATGAAAATTGAAGCCACTTACTATAAACATCCAGCCTGGCAGTGCAAGACACTATCCCAGCCTCATTCTTAGCTGAAACAGTGTACCAGCCAGCATCCTCCTTTGTAGCTCCCTGAATAAGCAGGCAAATGTAGCCGTAGTTATCCTGGTGCATGCTAATCAAAAGAAAAGTAGAAAATTACTATTTAAATCACAAAGCAGTGTAAGCTGTTTTAAACTGGCATTATAAACTGACCCAATCTTAGATACAGATTGATTATAGTCTAACTTTAATTAAAATTTTAATTAAAATGGAACTTCCTCTGAACTTAGCAAGTGGAAAATAAAGCCTTGAGTATGCTTGACAATTTGGCAGTTTAATATCCTGTATTGAAAACTCAGAAGGTAAAACACATGAAGTAACTTTTCTTTCACGATTACGGATTAAGACATCTGGAGTAGCAGGAACACCAGATCTTACCCAGACTTTTTGTGGAAAGGATAAAGAAACCTGAGGAAGATCTTAAAATATAAAATACTGAATCTTAGTTGCTTAACTGTACAGCAGAATTATGAATCAGTTTCTGCTGAAAAGCACAGGGTGTTTCTTTTTAAACCTTGGTTTTCACTAGCAAATTTCTGTAGTTTTGACTCAGGAAGAGTAAAACTCCTCTTGCTTAGAGTGCATAGGTAGTTGTGTCTATGATGGAAAGTCTAATGATGGAAAACAAGTACCATTTTATTTCTGGTTCAGGCACCAGGCTGGCTGCAAGTTGAGTAAATGTCATGCATTATTACAATCACTAGTTAATATTTATGATATGCCCTTTACATAAAGCGTTCATGTGACCTTTTAGGTTTTTATTTGCTTTACAGGATAAATCATCATTGAAGTTACACATGGGGAGGTTATTGTAACTCAGTCTAACCTCACTCGGTCAGTGTTGTATGTGAGTGACTCGTTCTCTTTCTTCCAAAATATCTGAGGAGATGGCTCTCCCGAGATTCGACACTCCAGTCGCACTGGGAATCCCTCAGTCACACCTGTGTTTTGTAGCTTCTCTATAAACACAGGTGCTTTTTGTACTTCCTTAGCTGTGAAAATAAAGATTGCAGTTATGTTGACATTTGTCTATGAAAACATAGCCTTTCTTTCAGCAGTGTGCCAAAAACAATTATGAAAGACTTAAGTGGCAGGAAACATAAGTGTTGTCTTCATTAATCATGAAGTTCAGTCATGGTTCCTCTGGGTTCCTCTGAAGAAAACAATCCCACCATTATATTAATAGGGGGAAAAGTGAATGCTAAAAAGCTGATTCTGTCCTAAAATAATTGTAATGTAGAGCGTGACAACTAGATAAACGGCCTGCACTATGCTTGGTAAAATGTGCTCCCCCATGTTCCACAAAAGCACAGACTTTTAACTGGAGAAGGAACTGCTGTACCAGAAGGCTGCAGTGGCATTAGTCTGATGTGCTGTGAAACACACAAGGCATTCCCACTGGCTGTCCAGGGGTAACGTGGGTCTGCACAGATTGGCATTACAAAGAAACATCCAGGGAAATAGTCTGGTTCCTGGCCTCAAGGCCAGCAGCCCCCTTTTCTTAACTGTGTGCAAAGGCATTACATGCCAGACAACTTATGCCACAACATAACATGAATAGCTCACCTATAAATATACCATACTTCTGTTACTGCCAGGTTTCCTTTTCTTACCCTCCACCCCTCAGCGTGTCATTTGACATCATTCATGCTTCCTTTATTCATGCTATCCTGGCAGTGCTCAGTCTGAAAGCTTAGGATGAAGTTATTACCTGCAACAGTGAGCTCCAGGCTGAATGAATTCTCACCAGCTCGATTGCTGGCAATGCACGTGTAGATTCCAGCATCTCTGGATGTGACCGGTTCTATGATCAAGGAGTGCACCCCGTTCTCACGCACCAACATTTTGTGAGAGCTGTCAGGGCGAATTGGTCTGCCATTAAGTTGCCAGCTTAAGTCTGGAGTTGGTAATCCACTAACCTTGAGAGTAAAGAGAACAGTGGGAAATTGTTTTAGCCACATGAAACATTGGAGGAGTCCTGACTTGTTTCTTCAAGGAAGTTTGGTTTGGTTTGCTACTGCAAGTGTACCAAAAGATTTAAAGATCTAATTCTGTCCTGATTTACACATTGAGTCAGTTGTAGTCATTTACTTAACTTTCTGGCCAACTCCCTAAATTCCATGATGTCTTATGGGCGCGACTGAAAAAAGATCAGTGTGTAGATAGGCTAGAAGCTAAATAATAATACATTGCAAAACAAAAGGCAGGGTGACACCTTTTGTCTTTTTTATTGTTTGCTCTTGAGGTGGAATGAGAAGATATTCCTTTCTAGATTAACTTCTTGTCGGAAAGCTTGCAGACAAAAAGATTTTAGCTGACTAACTACTGACCTCTGAAGTTGCATTCCACTGAGGTGTGCCCTGGTGACAGCACCACTTGCACTAGTTAATGCTTGGTCTGTATGGACAAGTCTTGCACTCTTGAAAGCTGTGCCACTTGCTGTGGGGACTGCTTCAGAGCAAACAGCTTCTCCCAAATAGGTCAGCATAAAGTAAACAGAAGTCACCCAAGCCTGAATTATTTCTGCTCAGCAGAGTCATAAATCAGGTTTATACTGTTTGAAACTTTTAACAGGGGTTCCAAACTCAACTAGTAAAAGGACTTAAAATGTAGAAACACATTGTCTGTAGTGTGTGCTGCTTCCCTCCACACCACAGCATAGCTGAATTCTATAAATCAGTTTACTGTGAGCTCTAAGATTTGCCTGAAGCACTTTCATTGGAAGGGAGGGAAACTTTATTGTCCACTTACTCACTCATAAGCAATGAGATTAATTACCCTGCTAACAGGCTCCGAAACTGCCAATAGGCAAAATTGCTTTGAAAAGAAACCAATGTGGTTTTTGAGTCAGCTGATGTTATCAAAAGGCTGCTGCTACCCTTTGCATGACACTTGCCTTGCAGTCCATCCTGCATAGTTTTCCTTCTTGAACAGTCAGGTCTCCAGGAGCCTGCAGAAAATGAGGCCGGAAGAATCGTTCCTGAATTGGTTCATTTTCATCACCACTGTCCCTTGATCGAGATCGTGGTCTTAAAATAACATGAAATAAAGGTAAATTATTTTTTTCCTCTGCTAAATCAGAAGAACCATAATCACTTCTTTAACCTTTCCCATAATCGCCCCATATTTACACACATGCACTGGTAGCATTTGGCCCAGATTGACTTAATTATGACACTACAGTTATTTAATTACTTTCATTTAATTCACATCTTGTGACAAACTATGACCTATAAAACAATATTGCTGCAGAATAACAGCTTGCAAATTAATTAATTTTATGAATTACAGTATTTTTGTTTAGTCTTTAAATCACTGTACTACAAATAAAACTACAAATAAGTTGGCAGGCTGTGGCATGAGCTTCAGTTCCCCATTTCTAGTGTCCTGTGTATTTAATCCCCTCACTGCTGCTGATTACACCAGAAAGTACATGGGTTGTTCATACATCATGGTTCCCTTTCAGCAAACAACAGCAGCTGAAAGCTAACCCATCTCAGTTGACAAGAGACCTTTCACATCAGACTTATCTTCTCTTGTTCTGCACTAGTGAAGACTGTACAGAAAATTCTGTGTATTGAATAGCTGTGGATATATTTATTCCTCATTGAACAGGTTTTTTGTATGAAATACTCTTGAGTATTTTCAACGCCACCAAACTGTGGAACGGAAACAATGAGTTTCACTTGTGAGAAATAGGGAGAATAACTTTGGTTACTAGTTATTTGTTTTTTTATATAAAGGTACCATAAACAGTTTGATAAATAATAAAAAGGGAAGAAAAAAAACTCCTGTCCCCATACACACTATCAATCACCTTAAGCTTCCATGATATCATTTAATCCATTTTCAGCATTGGCTATTTTTCCCTTTTAATTTAATCCATCAAATCTTTTTCTAAGTGATTCCTCATTTAACTAAATTTTTGTTTCTGTCGAAATTAGATTATTCCATTTGTGTGATTTAGTAATCAAAGAATCTTGAAACAATTTTTTACATCCATTTTTGTCCTTGCCTGATCAGCTCCAGTGGGTTCCATTCTGGAGCCATCTGCTGCCTACAGTAACATCCTGTGTAAAGAAGAGGGGCTACTCAAATATCCTCCAAAGACCTCTTTTATCAATGACACATCACAGTGAAATTCTCTTCTCTGAATCCCACATCCTGTTAACTTTTGCCAATGTTTCTGTTTTGGCTGCTGTTTGCAGTGCCCATGCTGCAGTACAGGTGCCCATATGCATTTTCTACTGCCCAGGGTCATTTTTCCAGGTTAAAACAATTCACAACAAAAAAGAGCCTAAACCCCTCAATGGTTACATTTGGAAAACATGCTGTACTACTGCATGGGAGATAAACATTGCAGCTGCATGCTCTGCTCCACTGAGGCTGCAGTTAATTACAGCTGCTTGAATTTGATTTATTTTATAAGGGCTCTGTTGTTGCCCTTTTCTCTGATATTGCTGTGTTTGAATTGGCCAGGCATCACCTGTGCTATGGTATTCTCTTTTTAATAATTCACTGTTGACTTTTTAATGATCATCACAGTTGTCTGACAACTACAATTAAAGGCAAATGGAGGGGCTGGGGGGGCTTGTGTAGATATCCACTCAATACTGCTTAATAATGTAGGACTGGATATTGAAAAGGGAAACACAGACTGACATCCCTGCACACACTAAGAGCTCATGTAACTCTTCAGGTGCCTAAATCTGTGTCTGGAGCACCTCACAGTTTTTGCCACTTGAACATGTCCAAAGTCACTTCAGTAGGTCCAACATGGCAGCTCATAAGCAACTCTGAGCTTTAATTGGTGAGCTGCTGATCAGGTTTGGAGACATAGATGTCTTGTGCAGGTAGATGGGATGGAAGATGGAGAGCAATAAGGAAAAAGTATACTGATATTGTTTGGTAATGAGTTCTGCAAGACCAACTAGAAATTATAGTATCTAGTCAAGTGAGTTCTGCACAGTTCAAGCAACTTGAGCAAAATCTGCCTCCACATTATTGATAAGCATCCTGTTGATAAGATGCCAACCAAGTACAAGTAGCTGGTGCTTCGTAAGGTTTTGCGAAGCTGAGCCAAACAGGTGAACTGGCACCACAGAAGTGTGGAATCCACCCACTCACAGCTGCAGCTGCAGGAAAAGGCAGCACTGGTCAAAATTGGGAGGTGTGTGTGGAGAATTTGTGTTAAATAAAATGGAAAACAGAGAAGTTAAGAATTTGTGAATACAGATTTTGCATTTCTGCCTCTTGGTAAGCTTACCCTAAAATCACAGACTCTTTTTTTAGCCTTTGCCTTGCGTGGTGAAACTAGGGTAATTTCAATTCTAAAACATTTTGTGGTTTTAAACAAATAATGAAATGAGTAGAGCCAAGTAGCTTCAGATGTCTAAGAATGACAAATTGCAAAAGACTGGAATAACTTGGATTCATCGTGGGCTCTTTGGAGTTGCAACGCAGCCATTGCATTGCAGAGATCAGCTTCAGCACAACTGACACCATGTAATAATGTGTCCAGGGGAGACTCCACGGGTTGGTACAGTACAATGCACTGGGAATTTCAGTAAGGAGATGAAGAAGACTTCACGACTGGTCATATAGTAATGATCACTAATTTAGAATTAAGGAGATTAAGTTCAAATTTATCCCCTAATTGAGAGCAGGGTGATAGGAATCTTTAGTTTTTAAATCTCTTGTATTTCATGATTTATTTTGGACTCTGGCTGCCATGCTTAGGTGACACAATGTTTGTTGAGCACCTTGTCATCTAAGGGATTGAGTCCAAGCTTTGTACACATCAAAAAATTCAAAAGTAGCTGCCCACATCAAGTGATACTAAGAAAGTGATGTTTGTCAGCTAAATGTATTTTATATGTTTGTCAGAAAAATATATTAAGAGTGAAATAAAACCCCATAGTTCTGCCAGAAAACATTCTGTAAGAGTCAGAAAAAAAGCCTGTCAACAGTGTAACAAGTAATAAAGTTCATTAAGCTAATAATTACACTTGTAGTAAAAGAAGCAAACAAATGATTTTGTTACTCTCAAGCAGAAAATCTTATAATATCGTAGTGCCATAGGAATATTACTTATCAAAAGTCAAATGCAATAGACATGACAAATACCACAGTATATGGGAGAACAGTAATTTGGCATATTACATTAGAAAAGCCAGTGGCAGGACTTTGTCTTAGGAAGGTTTTATGTGTTCTCATTTCATCAGTCTTGGGTGAACCCTCCGGTGGGCGTAGTGAGAACTGTCACTAAACAGATTCTGTGCTGAATGCTTACAGAAACTGCTCTTCCAGAGCAAAGATAATGGGATAAGCCCTTCACATGGTTATTTTACCCCAATAATTGCTCTAATTTTAATTAAACTGCTCTACAGAAATCCCTTATTTCTAATTCATTACTAACTGGACACAAAGCAACAGTGGCTGCTTGAGTGGCTGTCTCCATTAGAAAATAAAATACCAGCCAGAAGTGACCTTGGACTTTGAATGCATTTGGAGAGAGTGAAAAGAGCCTCCTCCATTATTACCTGGGGGTTCTGTCCCTCACATTTTGTCCTTCAGGAAGCTGCAGGAGTGGCAGCTGCTTGATGTTTTCACCCCTACCTACCTTCCCATCATCTTTGCTTTTAAAGGTCTTTCCCCTTTGTCACCCTGTGTGCACTGACTTATTCAGCTGAAACCTGATTCTTCATGGCAGCTTTTCCCTTCAGGGGTTAATGTGGACTTTCCATTTGTACCCATTACCTGGAGGTGCTAAGTGCATTAGTGACTGGAGAGGCTATGCCAGGTGGTCCCAGCCTTTTCTGTGCTGTTCTCTCAGAGCAGCCTGGCAGGATATTCCCCTCCGGAGGTACTCTGAGCTTTGGGCTTAACACAAGATGACACACTGCAGAGGGAGCTGGTGGCCATCTCAGAGAAATGCTGGGAAATGCTTTCAGGGTTGAAGTTTGTTCCATGCAGGAATAAGACTGACAAGATCTTTTAACCAACCAGTCTCACTTCCTAACACTTTATAGCTAGCAGAGGGGGAAAGAGAGCCTGTTTTACATGCAGCAGTTGTACATTACATGCTAGTACCAGTTCGTACCAGTACTAACTGTTAAAGAAATCCTCTCCTGGTTGTGCACTGACTGTATAATTACATGTACTCTGTATATTAGTATACTCTGTGTATTAGTTGGGCAATATTGAGATTCTATGGCTGTTGGAAGCATTAAACAAAAAACATGCCTCACAACAACAGAATCTAGAAACCAGAGCCCTTGAAACAGTTCTGGTAACCAAAATCAACTTTTTTGTATCATCTAAAGCTGTCTAAGCTGAGCTAAACAGCCTCATAAATGCTTTGGGCAAAGAAAAAAATTATTTGAAGGGAAAATTCCCTTCTATGGTCCACAAACATAACCCATAGCTTCGTATGAAAATAACTGTAAACTCACCAAAGATAAGTTTAATACTTTATTTCTGACTCATAATTCCTTATAAGAACTTGAACTGAAATATTAAATACTGAAATACTAAAATATTTCTAATGTAAATCTGATAAACCTCTTTGGCATGCAGTTATTAAATGAACACTTCCTAGAAGCTGCAGAAGATGGGGATTCCTGGTAGAATCCTAATCACACGAAATATTTTTAAAAAGCCTAAGTGACAAGAGCCTTCCCAATAGCTGATAGTGTAATTTGAGATACAGAGTAACTAGCAAACACCACAGAGAAAGGAGGAGGACACACAGGGAAATGTAAGGATATTTAAAAGTCATGGCATTTCAGATTTATACTTCTGAGTGTGCAAGTTCTGTAGCAATTTTCAGACAGCAGAGGTCACATTTCTTCCTGAATGCCGTGCTTTTAACTTACCTGCTTACCTCACATTCTTTACTTTGCCACAGTTATTTTGCAAAATCCATATTATTAAAAGAAAAAAAATGCATCAAATACCTTCTTATGTGAGGCTGACCTGAAGGTGACCAAGGACTGCGGCCTCTTTGATTTACAGCTTGAACCATCAGCCTGCCTGTGCAACTCACTCTGCCCTGTTAGGATGATAGAGAAGGAATATGAAAAGACTTAAAATATGTAATAATAAATGTTCAATCTGATCTGTTCCCTTTTTTCCCCTACCCATTTTATCAGCTTCCAGTCTAACACAGAGCAGACTGGAATGACTGTGACTATAATACATTCATGTTTTTTTAATTTAAAAAATGACTGTTAATACCACTGGCAATCAAGTTCCAAGTTCTTATTGACTGTTATTGATGTGGGCAGGTTTCCTCTGTGTGTGGCAAGTGGGCAGAAGATGGCCCATGGTGAGTGTTGGCAGTTACCAACAGAGGCAGTTGCTGCCTCCAAAGTGGATTGAACTACTTGATCCGGTGGGTTCAAAACTCAAAAAACCCCTCATTAATGTGAAAGCCAAAATAATTTGACAGGTACTTAACAGGTCCTCTCTGCAGAGTGAATCTTGTTTGAGGAATTGCACTGAAAGGCACAGCTGTGCTGATGGACTTTGGTGATAATTCAGGTTATTTTCAATGAAAGATAAATAAAACATGGCTCTGGTGTATTTGGCCCCCTTTTTTCTTTTACTTTGTGTTTTAGAAGACAGGTTCTCCACCACAAGCACTAGTCCTAACAGATTTGGGATGGGGCTGCCTTCTAAGGGGTGAAGGCATCTGGTGGTCATAATAACATCTCTGCCCCCCGGGCTGGTAGCAGTAAAGCAGCATCCACATCAGCTTTGCAGTGTATTTCAGCTCGAAGCTGTGAGCTCCACACTCAAGTCTGCCAGCATAAAAGTGACAAATATTTTTATCACAGTACTTGCGGGGTTGCAAACAGCAGTTCTTTAAGAACGGTCCAAATCCCATCAAAAAACAATTTCACCAGGCTCACAAGCAGCCTTCAAATAGCAACAACTTTTATGTTCCCTTAGAAATGAAGTCTGTGTCCCACTTCTATTCCCATGACCCATTTAGTCCAGAAGTAAAATCCCTGCATTAAAATAAGCCATTGTGACAGACCCACAGCAATTCCTTATGTAAAAACTTTATTTTTCCCCTTATGTTACAAGACCATTGAAGACATCTGGAACAAATGAATTTCTATTTTGGGTACCACTACATATTAATATTTTTCTGGCAGGTGATGAATACACATAGTTTGGGATCATTTCTGCATATCCCAGTACATGATGGTGTCACAAATGGAAACACAAAGGGCAATAAGGAATTTGGATAGGGAAGATTAAGCAGGAAGCCAAAGATTTCAGAAAAGTCACAGGATGGAGAGGATGGAAGCAATGAGTGGGAAGTAATTAATGAGATGATGTCCTAGAAACTAAGGGAACTCCAGCCTGAGGACTGGGTTTGTAATGCAAAGAAGCAGAGGGAATGGGATAAAAAGAAAGAAGGTGAAAAATAACTCTATGCAAGCCCATACTGTTCATAGAAAGAGCTCAGTTAAGGGATATAATCTCTAACTAAAGGCCTAAACCAGGCAGGGTTTTGTGTTTGTCTAGGCCCAGGGTCCATTTGCTCTGGATTAACTTCTATGGCAAATTTTACAACAAACCCCAGTGGTGTGTCAGAACTTTAATTCCAGCTCACTGCACTTTATGCCGTAGGCAATGGGCCCTGCTGTGTTAACTACCATGGACGATCTCCAGGGTCTGTCAACAAGGCATTTTACACATAAATCCCATTATGTTAGCCCAGGTCATGAGATGGCATGGACTGGCAGAGCTTTTATGAACTGAATCCTTTAATAAAACTGATTTCTATCAGCTGAGAATACATCTTTTGCTCTAAAGTTTGGTGATTCCAATAGCAATGACCAAACACAGCAACAGCCTAGCAAATATCTACCAATCCATCAGAGTTCTGATGTGAGCTCCCTTATATTTACGTACTTCACTTTCTTAAGGAAAGATTGCCAAATTTGCCTAAGTTTGTGATAGCTTTGAGACGTGGACAACTTTCCATTAGAATTGAGAAGTCTGCCAAAATTATTTCCACTCAGGATGACTTAAAAGAATTGGAATCCAGATCTTTGAGTGTGAAAGGCTAGTACATTAACTCACTGCCCTTCTTTGCCTCCATTGTACTGTTAAATGCATAGTAAAAGCAAGCAAATAGTGGAAGAGATAAGTATGTTTGCTTGGGAATTACACTGTAAAAAGGAGGATGCTTCTGGTTCTTTTCCAAAGAGAGGAAAAAAGCACAAGCACAGAATTTTAGCATTTAACAAAGCTGCTTTTTCAAGCTCCAAGCTGGGAACTGCACAAACCCAGCTCATTTTAGTACATCCAAAAACCCACTAACAAAGCAGTGCCATCCGTGACTGGTAACCTGGGTCACTGTTGTGTCATTGAATGAACATTATCCAGAACAACAAATGCTCCAAAGTAGGCTGTAAATATTCAGGGACAGAGTACAGTGCCCAAACACAAAGGCAGTTTGTTCACCAAGTTCTCCAAGACTTCGGATCACACAGTATCACTACACAGGGAAACTCTGTGCATGAACTGAGCCTACACTTAGAGGAAGATGAACAGGAATATTTCTTACCTTGAGCATGCATATTTTAAACCTGTTGTGAAATTTCACAACTTAAATGGTACCAAGTATTGGTAACAAAGTCATCTATGTGTAAAAGCTCACAGCTTGAACAATTCCATGGCCTTACACTATTTCATTAATATTTCTTTTACTTACATATGTAGAAATAACAATTAAACCACCTATATTTAAGCACTGCAGTTCATAGAATCCACCCAAAAGCTGCTCTCTGTGTGTTGCCTGTGTGTACAAACCCTTATATTCCCAAGCCCTCTGCAGTATGAGCAGGACTGACAAGCTGAATAGTGAGACAAAAATGGCAGCGTCATGCTGAGTAACCTAGCAACGTGCATAACAGAGCACAACACTCCTGCTTAGATTAAACTCTGTCTCAGTGATACAGTTTGTTATTCTACAGGGTGATTCTGCTTGCAGGCCTGGTTTTGGCAACATATTTGGTACTACAGATGAAAATAATTCATTACATCCCAAAAGTTATGTTACTGCTTTGGTTTCTCACATGCAACTCTTGCCCTTCAATTTGCTGTGGTGTAGGAAAAGTGGATTGAAAAAGTGACTTCCATAGGATGAGTGACCTGCAAGTGTGGCTATGTCTAATGAACTAGTTGGTTTCTGCTGTGTACCTCAACTCTTGTATTAAATCTGCAAAGAAAAAATGCTTCGAAAATGCATTGAAAAATTGCTAAACCAGTAACACTCTGTGTTTCAGAAAAGCACTGTTTAAGATCAACACGGGACTGCTACATAATAGTGCTAGATTTTTTTTTTGCTTTAGAGACTTGCAGTCTGCCTACTGTAAGCATGTTGAGGTGTGATATACTCCCACTCATTTCAAAAAAATTGGCCTCAGTCAGCGAGTAGGGTGCACAAAAGAAAGAAATTGCTGGATTGGGTTGCTTCTGCTGGTAAACTGGATCTTTTTCTCCCTTTCTATATATGTGCTCAGTTAGAATACTGAGATGTTATCAGCTGAAACAACTAGTGTAAGAGTAATTAAAAAATTATACCCCTCCTCCTGGAACCTCAAGCCATAGGAGAAAAACTACTGTTGAGTTGCTAATCTCTTGGAGATAGAAAGGTCCCACCCTACTGATGCAAAATGAAAACAGAAATCTAACTTGCATACTTTACAGTGACTTCATCATTTAATTAAATCATGCATATGTGAGATGAGATAGTTTTCTGAAGATTTATGTCCAGAAGGATGTTTGCTCCAGAGCCAAACCTTCATTTACCTGTGGGTTAGCAGCCATAATAGTGTAATTCCCATCATCATCCAGGGTGGAGGCTGCAGTATGCAGCGAGCAAGTTCCATCAGGTTCTCTTTGAATTCGGTAGTGATCACTTCGTTTAGAAATTTGTTTCCCATCTTTAAACCAATAAATCTACAGGGGAAAAAAGCAAAGCACAGCTGGTAAGAGGTGGGTGCTCATTGCCATAATTTCTCATTTAACAACACTAACGAAATTAACTGCTGAAAAACTCTCTGGTAAGTCGTAAAAGAAAACTGCTTTGATCAGCTCCTCTTTCTATGACTCACTTTCACTAACAGTTACAAGATTATCAGTGGTCCAAAGAGAAACAACAGCCTGAACGATTTCCAACAGAACGTACAGGTGCATAAGGGCTGAACATTTCAAAAACTGAAACTAAACGTCATTACAAAGAAGAGATAACTGATTTCAGAGATTACTAACTTTACATTTATTTTGCCTAAATCTGAAGAAGTTGCAGAAAAAACTTGAGAATGCTTTTGCTCTCTTTTCAGAAAATAAAAACATAAATAAAAAACCCAAGATAATGATAGGCCTAATTAATTCATTGATGGACAAAATAGAAGCAATGATCTCACTGTTGAAACACCTGTTTTGTCTCATATCCATTACGCTGACTGGACTGGACCAAAATGCCAGAAGGGATAGAGCTGCTCCCACTGGCAGTGAGCAGCTCAGTATGTGGAGGGGCCAGCTCAGTGCAATGACATGATTGAACCTAGCAATGTCATCCCTAACAATGTGACAGGCCAGCTACGCAAGTGGGCAGCTTTGCAAAGTCATAGGAAATACTTCAAAGCAAAGCAGCCCAGCGACATCCATTAACAACTGTGTGCCAACAGCAGCACAGTTCCAAGCTGCACAGAACTGTTACGTTGGCTATCAAACAGAGGGCTTTTCCAGCACTTCTGATACATAATTTCATTCTCTGGCTGACCCAAGATATACTTTCAATGAGCCAAAAAAATGATGTATGCAGGATAATATCTTACAGTAATCCATGAATTGCACACAAAATAAATGTACTTTTAGTACCTCAAACTTGAAGGGAAAAAAAAATTACCTAGCTTTCAGGAGTATTGTTTTGTTTTGGTTTTTTTTAGTATTATAATAATAAAGTAAAATCCCAAACTGATATCTGCTGGAATCAAAAGTAAATGTTGGGTATGCATGAACACACACAGAGGAATAGCAGAAAAATGTTATATTAGGAAGGCTGTATTCAGCTGCCCAAATCCATATTTAAGTAGAACATTATTTACTTGTCGTTTCTGAAATGTGTACTACACATAACATCAATTGTGTTCAGCATTTGAGACATTTGTGAAGATACCTACATCATTTTTAGGAGGCCAACTCATTCAAAGTACAACTGTATTTGTCCTGGTCCTGCTGGGACTATTCAGGATGAGCAAAAAACACATTTTGGCCAACCTCATTTTTGAAGTGGGAATTTAGGTCTTAAGAGTGAAGAAAGGGTGCTGGCTCTCTAGTAAAAAATGAAGTGACAGAGCAATGTGCAATTCCATTCCTGATAGAGTTTAATCTGCTGGGTTCTTCATGTGTGCCAACATTTCAAGGCTTGAAATTCACTCACTTGGGGCAAAGTTAAGGGCATACTTTTGAATTTCACAAAAAACAATGGAGGTTTTTTAGGTGAAAATCAGTGGAAATTTTGCTTAAATATTTATTACTGTGTATGATTTTTATATTAACAAGCATTATGCGTAAGTTGAAATGATTTCATTTCCTCAATAGCTGGTTATACTTGTTTCCCATTTTGTCTGTCAGCAGCCTTGCAGAGACTCTGTGGCCCGAACAAAAGGTTTAGTCATCTTCTTGTCTGCTGACAGAGCACTTACTGGAGATGGAAGAGATATTTGATCACTTATATACACATGCTAATGGGTGCTAAAACAACATTGCTGCAAAAAATGAGTTTTAACTTGCATGCTTTACATGTGTCATAATGTTGCTTGGAAATCTACTGCATTAAGTAGTAACTATTTAATAACAGTACACTTATCAAAAATATCAGGAGACATGCATGGAAATACACACAAATATTAACTGAACCAGCTATCCAAACATCATGTATATGTTGTCCAAAACTTATATCAACTGAGTTTAAAAGCATTGGCATCCCATATGAGCAATAAATTCTTAATATTACCTTTATCTTACATGGAGTAAATAAGTAAAACAGTACCATTGCAGGAGACAATGGTCCTTGCAGTAAAGTATTTTCCTCCTAGGATAACTTTCAATAAATGTACCGTTAAACTACGCAAGAACTGAAGACTGCAGCTGGATTGCTTTTATTTACACCAGATTTTCAGAAACCAGTGTGCAATGACTAGGAATACAATGGTATACACAGTACAAAGAGGGGTTTGAGCTTGGGCAGCACAAGCTGTTTTAATCACCAAGAATTATATTCAGCCATGTGAAGAGTGAGCAGTATGAGATTTATGTAACATTTGTGTATCAATTAACCTCTTGTATGGCACTATCTGAATTCTGAGGAGAAATAATCCCTTAAAAAGAAGTATTCCATAGCCCCTCCTGTAGAACCACAGATTTCTCATTTCAATGAGAAAATAGTTTTATATTACACCAAAGGTTATAACAAAGAGTAGGCTCAGATTTAAAGTCATACATATGAAGACAGAGTCTGCACATCAGTCTTCAATTTACATGGCATGTTCGGGGGAAAAATAATCAAGCCAATAACTCTGCTTAGAAAAATCCCTTGTAATGAATGCCAGATTTTAGAAACACTGCAGTCTTTCCCAAAGCCATTCCTTGGCAGACCTGACAGAATACTTAGAAGGGAGGAGCTTCAAGTTAGTAAATTATTTCCAGCTTTTCATTTACCAGAGTAAAAAATTTATTCACAAACAACACTTCCAGCTTCAACAAATAACAGCAGAAGGGCAGCCCTCAGCCATTGAGCTTTTCAAAATTACTGTCCTGGAATGCTCTGGCAGATGAGGGGGAGACACGGCCTTGGACATTTGTGAAACCTGGCTAACAAGCACCCATACAACAGGACTGATATTGGTTCCATCCCAAGCAACTTAACAAATTACACAAAGCATCTGTGAGTGAATGGAACAAAGGGCCAGAGTTCCAGGTGCAAGAGCAAATCACTTCTTAATGTGCAGGCTTTGACACTGCAAGGAAACAGAACATGGCTGTGAATCACAGGGGCTCACATCGGATCTCCTCTGTAAGGGCATGCTTTAGGGGAAGTGCTAGGAATGTGGTTTCTTGGCTGTGCAATCCTTATCACCCCAGTGAGGGAAAGGAGACATCCCCTTTCATCTGTCTTAAATCAGACAGAGAAACTACACCTTAATTGGAAACTGTGGAAATTAGGGGACGGTGAAGTTGACTAAGGCTGACTCATAATAGATCATCTAGCAATTTAGTCATAAGCCTCAGGCAGAAAGAATATCTCTGCACACACTGCACTTCTATCAGCAACAGACCCATTTGCATTCCACCCTTGTTCGGCACAACAGCCTCTTACCTAGGGTCATCTCAGAAGTAATGCTAGACATGGAAAATTTGGTTTCAGTCAGACTGAGCTTATCTTCTCAGTGTGTGTGTCCAGTTTGAAGCAGGAGTGGTTTTTTGATACAAGTATACTGATCCACTTATTTGGAGTGGTTCACATCATGTTGTGCTCTTGGAGCACAGAACTGGATTCCTTTCAGATGAAACTAAGCCAGAAAATGTGCTCCAAGAACTCATCTAGTGTGCATCTGCTTCAGTCTGTGGGACGAGATTAGAGCTAGCCTGGAGTAAAACCTTCTGACATGTGTAGGGGTGGATAGCTCATTCTAGAGATTTTCTTCCTCTGGTCTGCACTCCTTGCTGATGTAGATGTAGCCCTAGCGCTCTGTTGTTCTTCCTCTGCTATCTCATAAAGTCTTTAAAAAAAAAAAAACCAGCTTGCACATTATCTTACACATATAGCATTGGGCATATAAAGTCACTAGCATTTATCTCTGTTGGAAATCCTAAGCACCCATAAAACTTACACTAGATGTGAGATTTGGATGCGAGTGCTTCTGTGAAAGTTTTATGTATCAGAGAGGGCATCACTGATCTTGTCTAAGAAGATAAGAGCCCCTGTCCACGAGAGGTCACTGTGAGAGCTGCGAGGACTTCACTGGCTTTGCCAGGGGAGTTGAAGAAGCTGCTGCTGTTTGCCTGCTGCATAATCAGTCAGTTGATTGCCAAGCAATTTTTGAAATGGTTGTATGCAACCTATCCAAGAGGGCATTCTTCCAGACTACTGACATCATGCAGCTGGTACTTTTACATTTGCTACAAGGAAATGCTTCCCAAGCCCAACCCTCCCTCAGAAGTTCATCATTAAAACCTCACCATCATGTCTCATCTTGCTGTTGGGATATATGGGAGCTTATGGTATTTTATTACACCTTCTTCTACATTCCAGTAAAATCCAGTCTTGTTAGTGTGTGTAGATGCTGAAGAATGAGAGATACCATACTGGCTTCTGAACTAAAACCCACATATTTTTGGGGTTACCATGTTACCATGCCTGAACTAATTACCCATGCTAGCAAGATGAGGAGGCTTTTGGGACTCCTATGCCAGCTCACGTGGGGCTTTCTAGCATTGCATTGCATTCTGTGCCACAAATGTACCCTGAAAGGCAATTCTGACAATGACAGAAGCTTTCCTTCCCGGTAAAATATCTGAGAAGTAGTGTCAGAAGGGAGTAACTGAGAGCAGAAGCCTCATAATAGCATTTTTTACTAGATTTTGACTGAATAGTTCCATTTATGCCAAAAGATATTTGGCAGTTTATGCCAGATAAGATTCTTTCTTGTCAAGTGTGAATATCTCCTGTTCCTGTAAGATACAGCTCATAGTCCAGAGCCTGATCATAAAGGACCAACACAGAACTCTTCAGAGAAATTCTTGAAAGATTTACTGTCTTTTCTTACCTTTGGCTTTGGATTTCCTGCCACTTTGCATGTAAATGTGACTGGCATTCCCTCAAAGATTTTGAAGTGCTTCAGCTTTATCTCAAAATATGGTGACATACTGTTATCAATAGGTTCATCTCCATGTTGCACTTCATCATCTGATTCTTCCACAGGAGATCTCTCCAGCCTGTATTCAATTTCACTGATCAACCTTTGCTCAAAGCTGGAGACTTTATATTCCTGTCAAACAAGAGGTAGATATTAGTGTCCAGCTTCAACACATTACTCAGGAAAGTATGTTTTTAATGTTTGGATTTTTTTATTTTACCAATCTTTAACAAGCCATTAAGTTTTTACATATAAAAGGAAACTGTATCTTGTTGAAGAAAAACACTATAATCCATGTCTCCAATAGCTTCCCTATGAAACAATCAAGACATCTGGTATGAGGCAAAAACTGTATTTCATGTTGTCTTATGGTCTAATTTATAAGGGGAAAGTCACTCATTGGTTGCTTTCTTTCCATTTAAAAAAAATCCTATAAGAATAAAAGTATTCTGAGGCAGTTCATAAAGACAAAAGGAACACACTAATATTTCCTTGAGGGTACAGACAGATTTAGGGTGGGTTTTGTTTCCAGATGGCTAGAAGACCATATGGTTCACATCTGCTATTTGCATAGAACTCTACCAGAGGCTGAACCAGAAGGATAAAATTATTGTTTACAGTTGGCTGTAAAAATGAGGACAAAAATAAGGGAAAATTGCAACAGTGGCAGTCCATGATAGTTGTTTCCCTTTACTCCTGTTGCTATGATCTCCTGAGTGTGGGATCCTCCCTTAGAAACAAAATTTACCATAACTGTATTGAAGATATAGCAAGAAGAGCAGAAAGGTTCATCAAGTGTAAAACACTCTGACTTGCTTGAATTTGTTTTGATTTACTGATATACACTGTTATCTGCTTTCTTGAACTGTTACTTTCCAGAATTCCTGCTTGAAATCTTACCAATAAGAGTGAAAATGTCAGACTGTAAAATAGCTCAGAAGCAGGAAAAAAAATATTAGTCAATGTTTCTCTCAGTCAGCAGAAATTCAGACACTCTTTCAAATGACTTTTGGCCAGTCTCTGACTCTTGTTGTATTTAAGAGAGAACATGCATCTCATGGAAAGTATTCTTTCACATCCCCATCCTCTGTTGCTGCCTCTGGTCTGAGAATGATGTGACACGTTTCTGCCATTGGTTACAGAACCAATCATAACCCTCGATAATCGCAAAAAATGCTAGAGGACAGGAATACCTTGCAAACTGCAGAGAGTTTTAAAATTTCTTTTTCTTTTCCTGAAGTGCACCATACAAATAAACCACGAAGTACATGACAGTTAGTATCATGTCAGTGTACATTATTGTTACAGCACAAAGATAGTGGAGCACACGCTGATTGCTGTTAAACTGTCTGCACTCACACAGGCTTCTAGAACAACTTGAACATCCTCACAAATGGAGTGCAGCCCAATTCTCCACAGTTATTAATGCTAGATGACCTCTTGTTATTAACCAAGAACAGCAGAATGGAAAGGGGAAAGAAAAACCAGACAAAAACACAAGACAGATAAAGGTGAAAATGATAACCTTTTGAATATCCATGGGACTCACTACAGAAGCACCAACAGAGCGAGCTTCCTGCAAGGGTAGAAGAAAAGATCAAGAGGCAGAAAGAAGAACAAGAGATATCCATGGCAGTTCCTCAGTTTTTATCAGGAGAATGTACTTTGTGCAGCACCATAAGCAAACGAATGCTACACATTTCTGAATAGCAGCTCTGGCATCTGAACAATGGAGAGCGTGTACCTGGCCTTCCAAGCAGACTTTCTGTTGTGGTTTTGGTCTGCACCCAAAAAGTGCCTATTACACAAATAAAGAGAAGATGGTTTCAAGATAGTAGATGCATTTCTGCCTTGAGAGACTTAAAGGTCAGGACAGAACAGGATAAACAGAAGAGTTTAAAGCAGAAAGCAGACATTTGAGAAGTCTCAACCTTATGGAAAAACTGAGCAATAGACATGTGATCCTCCAGTTTATTTCACTAATAGATAACATATGACTTCTGTAATCAATAACCATCCTATCTTGTATATATTTATCATCTCATGTAGGACTTTATTTTAATGACAATCACAGTCAGTAAAAAAGAAAAACTGAAAGGCATTTTTTCCTGTGAAATTGTAGAGTTATGTGTCACCTGTATAGCAGGATCTTCTTCTGGTTCCTGTATATTGAAGACAGTTGCAGCACTGTCTGCTCCCAGCAACCTACGAGCCATTTTTTCCTCATATGTTAGTCTCTGAACAAAAAAAAATAAAAAGGAGATGAGAGGGGAGGCAAAAGAAAGAAAAGATACTATTTCTCCATCTACAAAGCAGTACATAGTAAGCAATGCTTAAAGTAATGTTGATAAAAAAGAGCAGCAATATGTTTCTAACAGAAATTTTCTACCACAGTTTGTAATGCATTTTTTTAGTATTACAAGTAGCTCTTTTGGCTTAAGCAACCCTTACACTGACTCTGCCATTTGTTTCCATCCTTGTGCCAGGAACTTGGGTAGGAATGAGCAATAGGAACTGCTTAAATCATGGCCATCAGAAGAGGGCACAGCAAATCATCTCAAATCTTATCCAAGTCATTCTGCTCAGTTTTTACGTTAAAACCACAAGGCAGAAAATACTGCCAAAAATTATAAGGAGATTCTACTCTACTTGAACATTTTTTCCAAAATACAGAAAAATGTATTCTTTAAGATTTTCAAATTTCTGTTTCTTCTTACTCTTTCAGAAATCAGAGACAGCTTATAAAAGACAATTTACACTGAGAAATTGAGTTAAAGGAAAATCTTAATGTATAAATCAATTATTTTATTACTAGTTTTCTTCCTGCATTTATGAATGCATTTCAGACACTCTCTTACAAATCAACATCACAAAAAAATGCAAGTTTGTAGAAGACAAACTCATTTCATGGTGAAACACCTAATTTAAAGAGAGAACTTAAAAACGAATGAAGAATGGAAATTGTAAACATTACATCTACTTCACGCTTGCTTTTTAAAAAAAGCTCATTTAATTAATTTTGTCTTAATGTCATATTGCAGCTAAACCAGCAGGCTGAAACTCATGGCAACTAGATAGCAGCACTGTCTCAGTTACAAGTATCTAAGAAAATCATGAACTTTTCTTCATTTATATTTCTTCTGCAGTCTCTTCAAGTGCCCACTGCCATGATTACACATACAGAATTTACCCAAGACAGGAATCTAGTTCAAGCTCCTACATCATCTGATCATACTTGGTCTCTTTTTTTTTTTTTTTTTTTTACCTTGGGCCATGTGGGCATTCTCAGGACATTCCATTCAAATGTTTGGCCCAGGCCAAACATCTCCCTCACTTTCCAAAATAGGCATTGACAGTCATTCTCAGCCCACTTCCTTGGAAAAAACCAGGAACTAATACACTATGACAGTGATTTTGCTTAACTGCTACAGAAAACTGCCAAATGCTGTGCAGTCAGTGGAGAAAGGTAACAGCAGCAGCAGACACTCTGAACATTCTCCCTACTTCACTCCACTGACCTTATTAAGAACCAAAATGGAGCAATGTTGATAGACAGTCTGACTCAGTGGGCTTTCTTGAACTCCACCACTACTGTTCACAGCTCAGATCTAGTAGCAAACTTAGTAAAATTCTGGGCATTGTCCTAAGAAACATAAAATTCCACTTCCTTTCAAAGTGACACAAGGACATCCCAAGACATTCAGATTTTTGGAAAAACATTTTTTTGATAAAAGAGAGGCAACAGTTTACATTTTTAAAATTACTTTCCTTTTAAAAGAAATTCCTGCTTCAAAGATAGTGCCTTAGTAACTGTAAAAAACTCTTAGGGAAGTTGCTTCTCATCAACTCTGAGCAGGAAGAATTTGGTGTTTTATCTTTCATATGCATCTTAAGTGCATAAAAAGGAACAGAGATCTTTGGCTGTGCATTTCCATTGTTGATATGCTCATTTTACCTAATTTCTTGACTTTTCAGGCAGTTCATTAACTCTTGAGTCTGTAAGTTAGTACTATGGGTTATTTCTATTCTACTGGTCAAAATTCTATCTGTCAAAAGAAGCCCCCCAGCTGCAGAATCTAATGATGCCTGATTCCAGCTGGGTTGTTTTTCATTATGAACTGCCTTGTACCTCCTCTGATGTCCAGTTAGCACCTACTGCTTCCCCCATCATCCAGTGGCTGGGCACAAGGTAGAATGAGCCTGGACTGAAACAGAGCTGTGCATGTTCATCCACTCAGTAATGAACAGGCGAAAGCAAATGGTCCTTGATGCTCAAAAAGTCCTGGAGGTAGAGCCCGTGCAGGCTTCTTATGCAAATTCACCATTTTTGCGACCTCCATTGCTTTGTTAAGTCCAAGTAAAGTTGTCAAACAGGAGGAATGATAGAACAAAATGTACGCTATCATTCCTTTCGGAAATGCAGTTTTGAAAATCCAATTAAAAATTATAAATATATAAAAAGCAATCTACAACAATTATTTTATATGCAGCCTTTCTCAGAAACTACCAGTGGTGCCCACCCTCACTCACTCCCATTCCCCAGGGTATTTTATGTTTTTATACCGGTTGTCCGTTGTTCAAAAGGTCTTCTTTGAAGCGAAGTTTTCTCTCCAGATCCTGAATTACAGCATCTTTTGACCCTTGAATCTCTTCATCTGATGCTATCCTAGCAGTTCTGCCTGTTTTCTTGGGAAATCCCCTGCAAAACAGTACAAAAAAAAAAATCATGAGCTTTCCTGAAGTAATTTGTATTTAGGAATGTATCTGGAATCACTGCTATTAATGACAAAAACAACACTGTGTCTTTGAAACTAGAGGTCTGACATCTTTCTTTCTATAGTGTCGCTACTAACTCACACTACTGGTTAAATGGTAGGTTTAAGGACAAAGATGAAACTATCCTTTATTTGTGCTTCAGTTAAAATAGCCCTCAGGATTGCTTGGCAATGGCTGTAAACACCATACACTCACAAATGAGCAGTGGCAATAAAGCAAAATGAGAGGAAACATGAAAGAGAAAGCATGACTAGATAAGTGGGGATGGGGATGGAAGATAAACTAGGTTCCTATGAAGTACCTAGTTGAATAAAGTACCTAAGATGTAAGACAAAGCAGTTAATTATTAATTTCTTATGTTATTTATTAACTAATTCCTTGTAGCAACTTCACAATAACTGCATAACCTCATGTTTATTCTTCATATCTCTGTGAACACATACCCATAAGGCAACATATAAATGCTGTTGCTCAAAGAAGAGCCATTCACAGTCTGGGTTACACTGGGAAAAAGAAAAATCATCCTTGTGAAGTAGTTCTCAGCAGCAAGATTTCCCAGTGGAATAGCAATCATTTAGCAGTTCACATTCACAGGGCTAATTTATTCCTCTTACCAGCCTACAGGATAGGACTGCACTTTCAGCAAGTTTCACTCCCATTTTCTTAAACAGTGTGGGAAATTTTATTTTACCAGACTCCACTAATATTTAACACTTTTCAGTAATGTTATGATGGCTTTATTACTGGAAATGCCCAACATGGGTGGTTTCTACTGGAGATCAGCTGTTCTTAACAGAGAAGAAATCAGCATTGCTGAAGTTTTGTATTTGAAAATTGTAGCACATCCCATTTCTCCAGTGAAGTGACACAGGATTGTTTAAAACACTGATAACTGGTTCAATATTAGTTTACAGGGTCTTTATACCTTTTTTGAGTAAATAGGGCTCTGCCCCATTACATGGGAATGACATGGAAAACACGGAATTGAATCAGATAAATAGACAAACTCAGATGACAGAGATAGAAAAAAATCAGACTAGCATGTAATTGGAAAATTTATTTCCAATATCCAACTTAATAATTTAATAATCAGTGCCAAAATTCTAAACAAGACTCATACATAGATGACAAATTTTCTTGGATAATATTCAATTCTATGTTTCTGTGGTTAGAGAGACTTCATTCTTCAGCAAGTGCTTTCAATGGTCATTTCTAGCATTACAAAAAATGAAAAAACACACATATACTGTCAAAAGCCAAAAAGAAATTAAGTTAATAGATGCAGAAGATAACAGTTGGAAACATTCCTAACTAATACATTTCATATTCCATTGCTGTAAGTAAATGCAAAATGTGAAAACAGAGAAGATCGTGTAAAAAGGACTGCATTTTTGCATTAAATCACAGCAGAAGAGCAGGCATTTGTCTTAATTTCACAAAGAGACAGAGAACTACATTCTTTGCCCTAGAAATAGTCATCTGTTTTCTGGTGACCAGCAAGTAAAATAATTCCCTCAGCTTTCAGCTGGGGCTCTTTCTCAGTCACAAATAAGAAAGCAAGTTTCCTCCACTCTGTTTTGGGGAAGAGACATGAAAATTGTCCCATCTGTAGGGAGACAAGAGAATGTTAAGAGGCAGAGATAAGGTCTCTGCAAGAAAGAGATGCCTCAGTAATTCCAGAAATTTGGTACAATAAATGTAAAGGAAGATGTGGAAGGAAAATGGACAGGAGAAGGTGGGGAGAGCAGATCAGAAGGGAATGTCCCCCAGAAAGGCTCAGCATCTGTTGGAAGGCTGGAGGGCAGGTGTCAGCTGCTTCTCCCTTAGTCTTTCCTTCACCTTACAGCCCTTAATCACCTAGGCCAGCATTGCCATGAAACCAAATTTTGTCACTTTTTAGACTACCCTCCCCCACAAAAAAACTAGAATCCTCAAACAAACAACAGTAACACCCAAACAAAACAAAACAAACCCAACCCAAAAATCAGCCAACTCCAAGGCAGCAAATTTCAAGTTTGGCCTCACCTTTGCCTTCACCTATGCCAGCTTTTAATGGAGACATGCATCCTCCCCTTGAAAATTCCAAGTGATACACTAACAAACAGCTTCCATTTCTCATTCTCATAAATTTTTATTCTTGACTAATAAACAGAGTTTTTCCAGAAAAAGATCTGCTTATGCTTGGGACTCAAGAGGCTGTAAAGGTGAAGTGTACAGTTCACCCAAGTAAGTCACAACATTGTATGAAAAGAAGAATGAGCTACGTGCTTGGGAGTGGGTTTCAAGAAAAGGATTTTCTGAAGCACTATTGATTACATCTGAAAACTAAAACCCCTAAGCAAATACACACATTTTTTCACAGGGAAATGAGTACCTGAGAATTTAAAGTTAGTAAGTTCAACATCTGTACTAAACACAGAAAACCAATATCACAGTCCATTTTTAAACAATGTAAAAAACAAAATTAAAATTGAATAACGTTAAACCTCATGTTTATCTCTCTGTCAGGCTGAAGGGCATGCAGATAGGCAACAAGAAGTAGCTTTAATACACTTGAGTTTATGGCTTCTTAGCCTTCAGGAGCTGCAGTAAGTTCCCTAGTAAATCAGGGAAACAGTCTGGCTGACTTTTCTATTATATGGCTGTGTAAAGCTATTCAGTCTGAAAAAGCTTTTCAGAGATAACCGGTGATTTCTTTTTCTATCAAACTGAAATAATATAGTCCAATGAAGCATTTCAAAGAGCTCCATATAGTAAGTTGAGCACTTAGGATTTTGGCCTTAATTGGAAAAGTGAAATAGAGAAACACATTTCTCAAATTGGCTGATGACACTTAATTTGCAGAGGCTGTAATTAATTTGCAGGTAACAACTGTCACAATAATCTTCATGATTTGTCTAGAGGTATTCTAATGATGAAACTCAGGAAAATGTTCAAAGCATGATAGCAATGCTAATGGAAAATTAGCATTAACATGTTATGCATCTCTTGAGAACTGATGAGATTAAAACTTGGAAAATAACACTATCATTTCCAAAGGGAAAAATAAAAAACTCTAGGGCATGGCAGCATGAAAGCTGTTTTCCTTTATTCCTTGCTATTAGACACTGAATCCAGTTTTACCACTGCACTTCAAGAAAAATGCAGCAAACTGGAAAGTTTTAGAACAAGAAAACTAACACAGTTTTAAAAGCATAGCTTTTGTGACAAACTGTCACACACAGAGAGGCAAAAATTCTTGTTTATTTAGTCAGGAAATTAGGAGAATGAAGATAGACAGGCAAATCAAATGAAATGTCAGAAATCAGAAAATAGCTGGTATTTAATAATTCTTCATGCCCTTGAGGATGATAAGTCACAGTAACTTGAAGAAGAACAGGCCTAGCTTGGACACAAACAATGTAGAACTCTCCTTCCTCCCCTGTACAACAGTGACATTTAAACCCTGGAGCAAGTTATGTAGCAAAGCTACATAGGCATTTTATTTAAGAACAAGGTATTCAAATATGACAGCAATGGCCTGGGGATCCTGGGTAACTTTTAACAGGAGAGGCAGAGTCCTTAACAACCTTCCAGATCTCTGGTTTTGTGTCAGATGATCCCGAGCTCTGAACAGTCCATGGGGAAATGTCACCCAAGACCTGGTCAAGGCAACTTGCCTGAAAAGTAGATTATCATCCCTTAATTAAGGATATAAGCAAGGAAGCAGTTGGTTTAAAAATTTAACTGTAAAAGTGACCACCAGTCAAAATTTCTTCAAATACCTTTGGAGAGCTTCTCTCTTCCTCTTTAAGTACTATTTTAAATTGGGACAAAAAACTCAAAGCAGTGCATAAGGAAACACAGCTCTTCCTGCAGATGCTCTGTTTCCACCCCCTCCTCAGAATCTCCTTCTCTAAATATATACACTTTAAAAACTGTCCAAATAGATATCTTGTGTGTGTGTGTATATATATATATTTATATATATGCATACATACATACCCCACAGCAAGTTAACTCTTAAGACATACATTCTTGGGATGAATTTCAAAATGTCTGCAAAGCAACGATAACAAATAGAAGGACTTTAGTAAATCTGTCTTCCAAAGCACAGATCCTTTCAGCCTGAGTAATGGTTTACATGGCAAGACAGCCTGGCAGCAAACTTTCTTCAGCTGCTTTTGCAAATATTTTCCACCATCCTTACATGCCCTTATCTGGATGCATTTAGCTCTAAAGATCTGTGTCCTCAGTGACGCATGAGCTTTCTTTCTGTCTTCTCTGAGGGATAATATCAAACAAAAAAAATCTGCCAATTCATTTATGAATTCGTATGTTCATTATTTGCCCAAGGCAAATTCCAGATTTACTGCATTAAGCTAGCAAGAGACAGCATATATCAGGCTATTGACAGGATCAGTCTCAAGCACACAGCCATCACCACAAATGTGCAGAGAAATGAACAGCCTTGAGAATTAGGCTGCAACTCCTAGGGATTTTAAGCACCTCTGAAATACACATCACCTAAGTCAGTGGGGGCTTGAATCCAGGTGTAAATAAAAGCACAAATGTTTGAATTCTTTTGGTCAGAAAGGGTGCAATGAAATTGCTAAAAACTGTCATCCTAATTCACACAGAGATTTTTGACAGCAGAGATTTTTGCAGCCTTGGTTTGGCTCTCCTTAGTTTTGAATATTTGCCCTGACATTTGTTTAGAAGGAAGGCCAAACCAGCAGTACTTTTTATGTTTTAATTACACAGAGTGCATGCTGGATGCAATTCCCTCTTTTCCTATGTACCTTTTACAGTGTAAACAAGGGCAACAGGCTGGCTGTTGTTATCCTTCCAAGAACAAATTCCTGTTTGCAGCCAATATGGCTTAGTTTCACAGAAATCCAAATTAATTCTCTGGTACTGAGGTAATGAACAGTAACTTGATTT